ATTTTCCACGCTTCCAACGCGGATTTTCTATGTTCAAAAGCGCATCTTTCCGCTCCGCAAAGGATCAATTTTCTACCTTATAAGTGGTCATTTTCCAATCTTTCCGCTCTTTAAAAGGATCAAGTTTCTACCTTATAAGTATTCATTTTCCACACTTCCAACGCCGGAGTTTCCACGTTTAAAAGCGCATGTTTCCACATTTCAAGGCTCCATTTTTGCAATTTTCAGCGGTCTTTTTGGAATTAAAGCCAAAGGGCCCAGATGCCACGTTTGAACCTTCAAATGTTCCACGGTCCGTGTTTGTTTCTCATATATACGTTGCCGCATAGCCGCATAGTAAGTTGTCAGGAAAAACAGCAGGAAAATGCAACTGCGGCACAGCGTCCAACAAAATGTGCTAGAAAGAGATGGCCCTCTCGGTAGAAAAAGATCAGAAAAAAAGGGTCTTGCTCATGCCGACAGACGGCTTGGCCTGCTGAGAGTGATTCGAATGCATAGCTACAAAAGAGGGTTCCTCTAGCTTGCCGCTCCTTCAGATATGTGAACAAAAGTCCCAGAAGTCTAGAACCTCAAGCTGCTAGCTATGTTCTTGCGTTTGGTCTGGCAGTCGCTAAAAACTCTTCTGGTTTTCATGAAGCAGCATATAAAACTTGCCATGCCAGCAGTGGTCCTGGTCTCACTCGCAGGTTTGCGTTCAAACAAATTGACGTGAAGGCAGCACCTTAGTGCAAGGCTTCCTTTGGATTCGAAAAACTATGGAAGGAGGTTGCCATTACCAAATTGATTGTTGATCGACACAATATTTGAAGCAAGATTGAGCAGTTCCACAGGTTAGGAGTGTCTTCCTAGCAGTGTTGTGGTGAGTACAAAGCTGTTGAGTTAGCTTCTTTCGTGGATCTGAAAGGAACTGCTGTAGCTGGGCCCTTGTCACAACGTCAGGCAGGTATGTTGGCTGAATACCTGGAATTGAGTAAACGAAATCGGAGGTGATGTCCTGCTACGAAAAAACAACTGCGTTTCCACTGCAAGTCCAAAGCATGGGTTCCGGGAGCTGTTGAGAGTTGGACAGAGGCTTCTATCTGGACAAGGCAGACCTAGGTTAAGAGAACGGGAGATCAAGAGCAATGCAAACAATCTTATTGCTGCCAGGTATTGGAAATTGCAGATGAGTGGATAAGTAACTTTTTCTGGTAGCATTTTTTCTGTCTCGCGGTGATGATTGATGGTTGAGTCATCGAGGAAAGCTGCCGGAATTGACCGTCACCACCAGTACTGCCAAAAATTAGCCAGTTGTTGAAAGTCAACGCAGTGCGGGATGGTGGCATCATTCTAAAGCGTCTGCCATTGGTCACTTGTGGCGGATCCTGGCAAGCGATTCCTAGGCAACCATGGATTCTTTCAAATCTAAGACCTAGCATGAACACGTTTGTCCTATTTTGTCCTGCTGTTCCCTGGTCTTAGAGTTTGTCCGAAAAGCATCCTGTTAGAAAAACCCGTGCCAATCAATACCCATCTAGGTATAGCTGAAAATGGCTGACCCCCCTGGCTGCTCGAGCTCACGCCTCTGGGGTTTGTCTGTAGAAAAACATTAGTAAAACTTGGAGACTTGACAGCCTTGACTAACCCTGAAGGTTGTACAGCAAAATTAGTCCTCTGTCTTCTTCTTATACAACACTGATTCAAGAGAAACTACTGTCACAGAGTCATGCTGGTTACTTGGCCTAAAGTACCTCTGTTGGGGCTAACTTTGCATTGTGAAGAGGGATAACGACGCGAGTTTGATCAGCCATCCATATGTCAAGACCGAAGATGAAAAAAACCAGACAGGTCGCGGTTCAATGATGCTACAAGCTTACAGCAACATGATTGATGATCTTATATCAGGAATCTTGTTCCGGTTAGAAAAGTGCAACTTTCCCCTTCCCAGGTAAAACCACCAAAACCATCCAAAACCAATTGCGCAAGGACAGGTGACAGGTAAGTGTGTCTGCATCGTGCTGTCTGTGTTTGCATCCAGTTGTGCTACGGCTGACCTCACTAAATCTGGGGAAAGTATGCAGGCCTTGTAGGGATAGCCAGGAACATCTCAAGAGAAAACAAGCAGCCCCGTCCATCACAAGATATGTATAATGAAGCGTAAAAATATCCACCGAAAAAATATCCACCGACCCCAGCCGCTGGCAGGGGGAGCGCGTCCGAAGAGCACTGCAGTTTGTCCGACGTTACAGCTGCGTTCAATCAAGGTCCACCATGAAGCTCTGAAGACTTTCTTGAAGGCTTTCTTGAAGAACAAGAACAAGAACAACAACAACAACAACAAGAACAAGAACAACAACGATAACAACGACAACAACGACAACGACCATGGGTGCTGTTTCCCTGTCTCCCAGGGTTTCGAAACATGCGCTGTGTGGGCCTTCCAGCTGGGTGCCGATTCCCTGTCTCGTAAGGTTGCCAGCAACACGCTGTGGTGCCATGCCCTTTCCTTTTTTCAGGGTACCATTTGCTAGCCGGCAAGGGCTTAAAATATGGTGCCGGGTATCTGAGGGGGCCCCCGCTGTTGTCACTTTTCAAATATTTTAGAGGGGGGGACCACAAAACGCTGAAAAACGAAACTTGAGTATCAGGAGCAATTTCATCATCATCATTATCATCATCATCATCGTCATCATCATCCTCATCATCATCATGATCATTTACCTATCCATAACCATCCACCTAACACCCACCCTACGATCTGGAAGTGCATGAGAACGTACAGCGGTGTAGCATGACGTATGCGTGCAAGTGCATGAAAACGTACAGCAGCGCAGCATGACGTATATGTGCAAGTGCATGAGAACGTACAGCAGCGTAGCATGACATATGTGTGCAGGTGCATGAGAATGTACAGCAGCGTAGCATGACGTATGCGTGCAAGTGCATGAAAACGTACAGCAGAGTAGCATGACGGATGTGTGGCAAGTGCATGAGAACGTACAGCGGCGTAGCATGACGTATGTGTGCAAGTGCATGCGAACGTACAGCGGCGTAGTATGATGTATGTGTGCAAGTGCATGAGAACGTACAGCATGACGTATGCGTGCAAGTACATGAGAACGCACAGCAGCGTAGCCTGACGTATGTATGCAAGTGCATGAGAACGGACAGCGGCGTAGCATGACGTATGTATGCAAGTGCATGTAGCATGACGTATGTGTGCAAGGGCATGAGAATGTACAGCGGCGTAGCATGACGTATGTATGCAAGTGCACGAGGACGTACAGGAGGGTAGCATGACGTATGTGTGCAAGTGTATGAGAACATACAGCAAATGACGCTATTGTCCCACCCCACCCCACCTCATGGGTATATGGTTAGAAGATATTACAAGTCATCCAACAGGGCAAGGGCACATACCCTATCGAAATACGATGTTCCCATAAATACGGAATAGTTCGTGGCCGCTTTCCCAGCCATATTTGATCTCCGCTAAAGTCGTATTCCCATCGCCATTCCCATTGACGGGTGCGCGACTCGATTCAGTATAGATTAGGTGTGTGTGCGTGTGCGTGTATACATATATGATGGTTTTCTGGTTCATTTATCTCTCTACATATTTATAGTATATCACAGATTTGCCATAAATTGTGTTTCTAGGGTCGGCGGCACGCGGGCGGCAGTTCTTCATGTGTTCAAAAAACTGAGTTGATCCACCAAATATCCGGACTCTTGCCAAGTCCTGGGGTTGCTGCGTTGTCATCTTATGTCATCCAATGCAGCATGGGGGCTCTTCTTGGTTTGGTGTGCCTACCTCCCAGTCCAACACTCGATCCTGCTGCTGTTGGTAGGGCATAGCCTTGCATTCATATCCGTGGAAGCCCTTCTTCTTGTCAGGGTTCTACACCTGAAACTTGCAGGGTGCCACACTCACATCCCATACGTAAGACCATTTCAGGGGAACAGCAATGCACAAGCACGGAGATATTGCACACCAAACCTCAACAAGCTTTTTGGGGGTATCAACCAACTTCGGGATGGGCTAGATGACAATTTATCAAGCAGTTCCACATGAGGCAATAATTGTGCGGTCCGAATTGTGCAAGCATTCTAGTGAACAGAGCTCTGGTGGCAGTACAAGATAACAACGACCAGACACCCCCATCGTTTTTCTGAATGGTTCAGATGCACGTATTCAAATAGGCCTCTGGCAATCCTTTTGCCCCGAACTTCTTGCTGACCTGCAGGGCAATCTCGGTATCCGTGGTGGTCTGAAAAGGTTTTCCCCGTATACCCCAAACTTTGGCTGCCTTCGTAAGGGGAAGAGAAATAGAAAAACGAGAACAAGAAAACACCAAAGATCTACAGATTTGGGTTCCAAAATCTTTGGATGTACCGACATACTGGAAGTAAACATCATATGTGCTGATGTTGTTGACCTATGGGCCCGGCCGCAAAACTGAGGATGCTGCCCACGGAGCGGTTCATGTTGTTGATTGGAACGCCCTTCAACTGCACCTGCGAGATGGCGTCTAAAGCCATTCAGCTGCTGCAAAATGGAGACTTCCAACTTGAAACTTGCAAAATTGACGGCCCGAAAAAACTACCGGGATGGTATGATATCCTGCAGGCATGTTGCCACATAAAAAAACGAGGCATAGATGTCGTATCCAACAGAAGCTTGATGCCCTATCAAACAGAACCATCCCCGAAAGTTAAAATTGTCAATGTGTTGGGGCCAGCTGAATTTGAAGACGCCTGCCTGTCAAAAGCCGAACTTGGACAGGTAATGCCAGCCCAAGAAAAGCTATGCTCTTGTACCAGGAGTGCCCCCACGTCCTGGTGGATTTGTTTCAAAGAAGTAGACATGTCTGAAAGAAATCAGTTCGAAATGTCTCTCATGCTGCCCGAAAACAAACGCGATGAACTGACACACGAGCGTCCGTTTTCTACGATTACCAACAGGTAGTTCAGATGTAGCAGTGGGTCAAAGATGAGACAGTGTCTGAGGCTCCTGGCATTCAGTGAAGAGCTGCTAACCAAGCCACCACACGCTGATACTCGCACAGCAGCCAGGCCCAACTGTCATGGTCACTCACTTCGTTGCGAAGAAGCGCCTCGCACGGCTGAGATGCTGGCGTGTTCCGACCGATCTGTAATGTATGCGGGCGAGGCACTTTGGCAGCACGGATGGCTGTCGTGTCTCCAGCACAAGGTTGAAGGTCTCGATGAGATCGAAAGCAGTGAAATGTCTCCGCAAGTAAGCGATAAAAAAACTGAAGGGTTGGGGTCGAGGTAGAGCCAGCGCAGAGCTGTGTGGGGAAGCCAGCCCTTGGTACGAGGAAAGCAGAAGTGGTGAACTGCTTGTTGCTTACACCCGCGCGGGGTCATAGGGTGATATTCTATTCGTGGAAGGTATATCCAAGAAAGAATATAAAATTGAAAAGGTAGTTTTCTGACGCTTGACCCAGCGACAGCCATAATAATCCACGCTTTGTTCCTGGGCCAAACTCACTGTAGGACTGAACAAGATACCTTGGATATTGGTAGGAATACCGCAAAAGCAACCAAAATTGCCCCACCAGGTACGTGGAAAAGTTCGGGAGTTGTTTGAGCTGCTTCAATATCTGTTTTTTTGTGCGCCACACTCGGCCATCTTTCAGTTTCGGAGGTACCATCTGTGGTTCGAGCTGCTCGAAATAGTGGAGTAACTGTGTACGAGCTGCAAGCTTCCCAAGCTTTCGCAGGTGACCTCGTTGAAGCCGATGCCAAATGGTGCCGGAACTCACAAGGTCAGCACAGTGGCAACCTTTATTTCGGAGAACACGGGCCACCTCTTGCTTGTAGGATCCGATTGGTCCACCGCCATCCCGGATCCTGAAAAGAGAAGAGTATGTTATCAGAACCCTAGAGCAGGTTGGTACAAGAGGAAGCTTTTATAAAGGGTTAACCTTCAGGGATTGCCTGACTTTTCGGAAGAGAATTTACTTCAAATTGAATAGCCTGTCCCTCAGGCAATGATTTTCCCAGAACGGACGCCTCAAGAGCTCTTGGGCGAAGATCGCAGAGCCGAACCAGGTCATGAGATAAGATGTCTGTAGGACCTCTGTTGGGCTGTGGCACTGATCCAAAAGCTTCTTCGCTGCGACATACTTTGGGGCAGTCGACCACACGTCGAACTGTACCTGTGTGAGAGGTTGCTTTGAAAAAAGTGAAGAAAGGTTAGCATCAGATGTATTTCTGCGCGGGAGTGTGGCAGGAAGGGCAAACTGTCCGTCAAAGCTGCCAAAACCAAATATGCCAAAGAACGCTCATCGCGGTGTGATAAATTGGACCGATATGGTTTTTTTTCCCGTTGTCTCACTTGGTATGTGGCTATGCAGGCTATCTCTTGCTTCGAAAAGGTAGAACCGAAAGGAACTGCTGCATACTTAACTGGAAGCCCTTGGTGGTGGGAGCTATAAAACGCAATGGAATGTGGCTGATTACTGAGGATGACTTTGCCGACCGAGGCTCGGCATTCATCGCATCGTGAAGCGTCTTTGCTGGACGAGGTCTGCCGTCGTGAAATTGCAATGCAGCATGACGGCACCCCACAGTTTGAAGACTGCGCCCTTGGTCCCGTAGAATTGCGTAGACACACAGCTGAATCAGTAATGCTATCTGCTCATGCTGGGTGGACGCCACACGTGTGTAGTCCATTGCGCCACCGGCGCGTGTGTTAATTACCAATTGACATTTCAGTGCCACTTTACAAGGTGGTGCCCCCAAGTTATAAGTTGGTTTATAATCCCAGCTATAGATATATCTAGTTATTGGAGTTATAAACCAACTTAGCTATCTAGGGGGCGCCACCTTATAGGAATGCAATCTATAAGTGAAGGTAACATTGCTGCATTGCTACATGCATTACTGCTTACATGTTTCATGTGCTTGGAACGAAGGCCCCAAAGAAGGGCACAACTTCAAGGCTCTGGAGACTGACGACACGGAGCAGGAAGAGTTTGAAGATATCTAAAATGCCACGAAACATATTCAGACCCAATCCAAAAGTTGCACGTAGATCTGGGTAGCAGCTGTATGTGCTATTATCTTCGATGAAATTTCGATACTGGATTACGGATGCACAACTGTGGTTGTTTTCTTTCAAGTGAGAGCAAAATCTGGCTCTGGACCTTTGTGGCAGCTTCCGTAGTCGACCTATAGTGCTGTGTGCAAATTACCCACAGGTATCAAACAGATAGAAAGGTAGCTCGGCTTGTGCGGTTCCACTGGTTAAAATAGATGGCATTGAACAAAATTCTGTGAGCTACCAGCACGTCTGGTCTATTTTTCAAATGCCTCTGGAACTTGTTGAGCAGTCTCAGTGACCGTGAGCGCAGCATCTGTGAAGTGGTAGCTGACGCCAGCAGCACTTGAATTCCGGATAGAACTCTGGAACTTTGTGGCAACAATCATGTTCAATCTGTATTGCCGTCTTGCCATGCTTCTTTTGCAAAGTTGCAACTTTGTGGCAACAAACATATTGAATCTGTATTGCCGTCTTGCCATACTTCTTTTGCAAAGTACCTGCTGCAGGAATCAAATGGGTATAATAAGTAAGTTAGAAAGTAAGTTGGACCACACCAAAAGTAAGTTAGGCTTGTGTGGTCCAGGATAGACGACTTTGAACAATTCGGTCGGCCACCGACACGTGCATTCCATTTCTCAAATATGGCTGGAACTCGTGGCAGCAATCTCAGTATTCGATCTGATCTATAGCACCGTGCTACTACATAAATAGTGCAAAATATTTGCCATATGTATAAAACACTTAGCTAGTAAGAGCATCTTCTGTTATTTCGTTTGTTGGTGCTACTTCCGAACACGACCGCATGCCCCACTTACCGAATTAAGACTTGCAGAATTGAAAGTAATGCGGAAGAAGACTGCCTGGAGGAATCCATACTTGTTCGATATGCCCATTTGTTGCATCGTATGACCACCCAAGGTTTTAGTATTGCAGCATCAACTCTGCGAGCGCAGCGCAGCTTCCGCAAATTGAAAAGAGACGCCGGCAGCATTGAAGTCTGCCTTTGGTTTAGAACTCCAGGCTTTCAGAGCGGCGACTATGTTTGACCTGTATTGCCGTCTTGCATCACATCCTTTGTGAACTACTGGGTACAAGATTCAAATGGATATGGAAAGGAAGTTGGACTTGTGTGACCAGATAGAGAACTTGAACAACTCGGTGAATCACGGCACTTCCGTTCCATTTTTCAAATACCTCTGGAATTTGGACAGTAGCCGCAATGTTCGATCTGATCTGTAGCACCGTAAACAATTTGTGAATGCATTTTCGGTTGTTCCCCTTGGTGCTGGTTTCGAACACGACCGCAAACTGCCCACTTACAGAATTGATGCGTACAGAATTAAGAGCAATGTGAAGGAATATAGTCAGCAAGTGTAATCACTTGTAAAAGTGCATGTTTCAAGCAGGATAAGTGACTTGGACTGTAGTTTTCCAACAACACACGAATTTCTGACAGCAATCTCCTCCACGGCTGCAAGATACCAATCTCTGCTCAAATCCTTTTCACATCCTTTTCAAACTCAGCCATGGCGTAGCAGCCAATACACTGGCAACGCAGCCCGGAATCTTGCCTTCCAGCTGGTACTCCATGCAATACTTGTCCATGGCCTGCAACCAACCCTCCATCTGGATACCAGGAATGGCCGGTGTGTAGCGAATGTAGGTCGCCCCCGGGGCACCTTTCTCCACTTCCTGTCGGTTTTTGTCAAACCAACCCCCGGACCAGTTGGGGAGCCCACCTCTGAAAATCCACGTCTGGTGGCTGAGCAGCAACTGCACGTCTGCATCGTTGACGCCTCGCACTATCAGCACCGGTCGGCGCTCCGCTGTGCCAAGGGACAGGAAGTGAATGGGAGCGTTGACCACGGAGCAACTGTGAACTTCAAGACCGGGCAGGCTGCTTCCTCCAAGCCATTCCTGCAGGTCCTGATTGCTGCTGTTGTGAACAATCACACTGTACAAGGGCATACCTGCAGCTGCCCGATGGAGCAAAAAATTTTCCATCAGACTTAAGCAGTTGTCTGCCTCACCACAGCCCAGAAGTGTCTTGATGTACCGCGGCGGCGGTCCGACTCGGCAAATCACACGGTAGGTTTCAAGGAGTGTAGAATCTGTGATGTTCTCGCTGGTCAGATAGGCGGCCCAATTCTCCTTGAAACGTTTCTCATCGTACTCAAAACCCACAGCAATGCCCTCCAGGGATGAATCAAAGTGCTCGTTGAGCAGGCTCGCATTCTCGGTTAGCATATAGACAACAGCAGACAAGTGTCCAGGCTGATGAAGAACAGCTCCACCTGGAGCCCCAATCACTCCAGCAAGCGTAACTCGCTGCGGCCGCAGAACTCGCTTCTTTGGAGATGCCAAAGCCTGGCTAGCGGGATCACAAGTGTGCCACTAATCTTTGTATAAACAGCAGGCAGCACGAAATTTTCGTCATGTCGGACAGACTGGTCTATTTCGAAGATATGGATGTGCTTCTCTATTCAAGGTTTGCACATGCATAGCTGCACCGTGAATCTCATAGCATGCCTGAACCAAAGAACCACGAGAGGTGGAAAGCGCGGTCGTTGCCGGGGAAGAAGACGGGCTAACCTGACCCGCAAATGGACACTCTACCCTCTTATAGGCCTATTTAGAAGCGATGCTTCTCTACTCAAGGTTTGGATGTGCGTAGCCACACCATGGATTATCTGCCTGAACCAAAGAACCAGAGCTGGCCAATCCAGTCGTCGCCGGACCAACAGACGGGCTTACCTGACCAAGGAACAAACTTCCCGACCAGGTAAGACACTTCATTATCCTAGAGTGGTCTTTGCTTGGTTGCCTCTGCGGCTGTTCCTGCTGCAAACTTGAGAATTGCCAAGCTCCAGCAAACACTCAAATCCAAAGGGGCACTCCATCAGACTATAATACTCTCTGCTTGCTTGCCTCCAGAGCTGTTCCCGCTGCAAACGCGGGACTTACTGCGCTTGCGAACTCGAGTGTTGTTGGGCTCACCTGAGAAGAACACCAACACCAACGCAGAATTCAAAAGCAGGTAAGCGTTTCACCACACTATAAACTGGTTAGCAAGGCATCTAACCAATGGCGACGTTGGTCTCTGCAATTTCTGTAGCATACGCAGTCTAGGTAACATACTTGTCTATCTCTTGGCCCATCACCCAAGCACCGGGAAGCGCCGTTGTTGGCAGGGCTGCCTCCGCACTGTTTGCTACTGACAATGTTAGAGTCTGGCGCATTGAAACAGAGGTACTTCAACTTCTATGGGTTATCCACTATATTTACTCAAACTATAATCTGTGTACGCACCTCCGCCTCCATCACTGTTTCTGCTGCTGGCTTGGACACAGATGGGCTTGCCTGAAGGCTGTAGGCTTGGACACAGATAGACTTGCTTGAGGCGAAGGGAGCTCCAGATCTGTGAGTAGATACTGTTGGAAGCATACGGCTTGATTGCCTCCACAACCAGTCCTGCTGCAGCTTCAGCAGGAGCAGAGCTTGCCTGCAAGAGAGACAGACTTCATCAAGAGCATTCGTACCTAAGAGGCGCTTCACGAAACTAGGGCTAATTGGCAAGAACTGCCTTGCCTCGACCGCGATTCCTGCTGCAGACTTGCGAAGTGACGGGCTTGCCTGCGAAGAACTTCAACAGGGCACTCAAAACCATGCAAGTATTTCACCAGATTCTACTCGTTGCCAGGGAAAACTGTTCTGTCTCGAGTGTGTATATCTGACACAACGCACTAGCCTCGGCAGCTGCAGAAGGAGAGACACTGCTAGCTACTGATAATGTTGCAGCCTGGCAAGTTGTAACAATGGTGCTTCACCTTCTGTGGGTTACTCAGTGTATTCACTCAAACTACAGTCTGTAGAATTGCCTCCGCCTCCATCACCGTTTCTGTTCCAGGCTTGCACACAGATGGGCTTGCCTGAAGGGGCTGGTTCCAGATCTGATGGCAAAATTATATGAAGTTGAACGGTTTCGAGCAAAACAGTTCAAGTATCGTATTTTTTGTACGATCAGCTACTGATACTTCTCTCCAACTTAATTCTTTTACTATTGAAAGAGATGTGCGCAGTGATGATTGCTCCGTATTATTTTTCAGAGTTCTTACACTGATTGGCCCTACTCTCTCGTACTCAATTTTGTCTTTGTACTTTTCTAGTATGTGTCCCGTAAAATACAGAGGTACCCAGATCTGCGACAAATGCAAGCACAGCGAAGTTGAGTGGTTGATAGTGGTTGCCTCCACGACCATACCCGCCGAAAGCTCCGAACAAGAAGAGCTTCCCTGCAGGACGGCACTAAGTGGCAAAGACTAAACTGTTCCTGCTGCTTGTTTAAACAAGGAATAGACTTCCGCAAACATTCAAAGCTCAATGTATACTGCACCTATCAGAGCGTTCTCTCACCAGTGCCTCCACAACCGCCCATGCTGCAGACTTGACACTTGATGAGCTAACCTGACCAAAAAACTGTGACTGTCCCTGCATATGCCATCACCATAGACACTCGAAGAGGCTAGTATCAAGAAGGGAAAAAAAAGATAGGTAGACGGAAAAATAGCTGCTTCCCAGACCCGGGGGGGGAGGGGGGGGGTCCTAGGTCTGTAAACAACTAGGAATAGGGTATGATTTATAATACTACCGTGCTCAATCGTATACTCAACCGTGCTCAATCGTATACTCAACTCGCTTTCGCTAAGGGAATCTTAAGTTGAACCAGTGCTACAACTATGCATAAATTTCTCACTACTTTTATGGATTTGTTTCCCGTCTCTACAACCAGAAAGCCTTTCATTGGTAATACTTGCCACGTCTATGGGACACACTGTCTCTTCGACTGATGATCATTTCACCAAATTCTACTCGTTGGCCAGGGAAAACTGTTACGTCTCGAGCGTGTATATCTGACACAACGCACTAGCCTCGGCAGCTGTAGAGGGAGAGACACTGCTAGCTACTGATAATGTTGCAGCCTGGCAAGTTGTAACAATGGTGCTTCACCTTCTGTGGGTTACGCAGTGTATTCACTCAAACCACAGTCTGTAGAATTGCCTCCGCCTCCATCACCGTTTCTGTTGCAGGCTTGCACACAGATGGGCTTGCCTGAAGGGGCTGGTTCCAGATCTGATGGCAAAATTATATGAACTTGAAGAGGCTAGTATCAAGAAGGGAAACAAAAGATATGTAGACGGAAAAATAGCTGCTTTCCAGACCCAGGGGGGGAGGGGGGGGGGTCCTAGGTCTGTAAACGACTAGGAATAGGGTATGATTTATAATACTACCGTGCTCAATCGTATACTCAACTCGCGTTCGCTAAGGGATTCCTAAGTTGAACCAGTGCTACAACTATGCATAAATTTCTCAATACTTCTACTGCACTTTTATGGATTTGTTTCCTGTCTCTACATCCATAAAGCCTTTCATCGGTAGTACTTGCCATGTCTATGGGACGCACTGTCTTTTCGATTGACGATCATTTCATCCAATTCTACTCGTTGGCCAGGGAAAACTGTTCTGTCTCGAGTGTGTATATCTGACACAACGCACTAGCCTCGGCAGCTGCAGAGGGAGAGACAGTGCTAGCTACTGATAGTGTTGCAGCCTGGCAAGTTGTAACAATGGTGCTTCACCTTCTGTGGGTTACTCAGTGTATTCACTCAAACTACAGTCTGTAGAATTGCCTCCGCCTCCATCACCGTTTCTGTTGCAGGCTTGCACACAGATGGGCTTGCCTGAAGGGGCTGGTTCCAGATCTGATGGCACACTTATATGAAGTTGAACGGTTTCGAGCAAAACAGTTCAAGTACCGTATTTTTTGTACGATCAGCTACTGGTACTTCTCTCCAACTTAATTCTTTTACTATAGAAAGAGATCTGCGCAGCGATGATTGCTCCGTATTATTTTTCAGAGTTCTTACACTGATTGGCCCTACCCTCTCGGACTCAATTTTGTCTTTGTACTTTTCTAGCATGTGTCCCGTACTTTTCTAGCATGTGTCCCGTAAAATACAGAGGGGTACCCAGATCTGGAACTTGCTACAAATGCAAGCACAGCGACATTGAATAGTAGCTAGTGGTTGCCTCCACAACCATGCCCGCCGAAAGCTCCGATCGAGAACAGCTTCCCTGCACGACAGACACTAAGTGGCAAAGACTAAACTGTTCCTGCTGCTTGTTTCAACAAGCAATAGACGTCCTTAAACATTCAAAGCTCAATGTTTTCTCACCAGTGCCTCCACAACCGCCGCTGCTGCAGACTTGACACTTGATGGGCTAACCTGACGAAAAAACTGTGACTGTCCCTGTATCTGCCATCACCATAGACAATCGGAGAAGCTAGTATCAAGAAGGGAAAAAAGATATGTAAATTGAAAAATAGCTGCTTCCCAGACCCGGGGGGGTAGGGGGGGGGGTCCTAGGTCTGTGAACGACTAGGAACGACCGGGGCTAGGCCAATCGCCTCCATAGCTGTTCCTGCTGGAACCTTTGAAGTCGTCGCACAAGATGAGCTGGCCTGAACGAGTGAGTTGCTAGAAAACAACCGCGCCGGAAACGCAAAATTTATCCGTGCGCCTACCTCTACCACTGCTTCTGCTGACACCTTCGAAGAAGATGAGCCTGCCTGAACAAGAAACAAGCCCAAGCAAGCCCCTCACAGCCATGCGGACGCTTCACGACACAACACCTGCTTGCAAAATTTCTTCGGATACCCGTTTTCATGGCCTGCCTCTAGCGTCAAAGGGGTGCCAAGGGCTTGTAGTGCTGCCTCATATAAACACCCCCCCTGACAACAGTAATTGTCACACTGCCCACACGAGCCTTCACATCCGCAGCAGCTGCGCTGGATAAATGTGGCAAAGCGGCCTCAAACTCAAGTATCGAAAAGATATCTGACATCACAATTCAAAGCAGTACATTTGGCACCTGCAACGACATGACCACGTCCAAAGCAGGTAGCATAGTTTCTGCCTGCCAACAAAATATTCTCTCTCGTTTCCAACAACCATACCCTGAATCATTCGCCAACCCCCACCTTCACACTTGTGGGCACTGCGAGGTTGCCACTCACAGAGCTGCTCTCGGTGCCTCGTGGCAACAACCGGACTTTCTGGGTTGGTCTCCTCGACCTCCAGTCCAAGTGTTCAGAGCAGCAAACTGACCGAATGATCCCAACTTGGGCAATATTCCCCGAGCGACACTCCTCTCACTGCCCACAAGCAAGTTTTTGTTTTCCCTCGTAACAAACTGGCTCCCAAGCAGAGATCGGGTAGCGAACCCGGCCTTGGTCTTTTTTGATCTCTTCTTGGGTTCCTCGGCACCTTTTTTTGTATCGTTTGCACGCCGGCCCATGGTGCCACACAAGCAAACGAGCGGACCCCAAACACTCAGCCGAAAGTTTGAGGTAGACTTACTGTAACAGTCATGCCAGTGCAATGCAATAACAGTCAGGCCAGTGGCAAGTAATGACAGCAAGCATGGTAAAGTTCCTTGTCCGCCCGCATCAAACAAACACTTCTTTTCGCAAGCTCTGTTCCAGCAGTCTCCCTTCTGTCAACTCAACGCGCGAGTCAAGAAATCCCGGAGGAAATCATCGGTTTTACTCGCTACATCGCACTGCCCGTCTGCAAAATGCTCGCAATACAGCTGCCATGCTGTTGCAAGCCCTTCCCTGGCCTCAGGATCCAAAAAGAAAAACAATGACTAATGCACTAGGGCATACCTCGCCAGTAGGGTCCTTTTATACAGCTCAAAACACCAAATCAGGATTAAACTGGTGTTTTGCAGGGTTCCTTTGCACAGCTGCGAGTCATTGAGTGAGAATGCCGATCAGTGAATCAGCCCATCACTAACAGCAGCTCGTTTTTGATCCACACAAAAAATGTGCTTTTAATGGGGGATGGGGCGATTCAATAACCATCAACAATCAATCAATAACCATCAATAACCAAAACCATCAATAACCAATCAATAACCAATCAATAACCAATCAATAACCATCAATAAGCATCAATAACTAACCAATCAATAACCATCAATTAGCATCAATAACCATCAATCAGCATCAAAATAACCATCAATAACCAATCAATAAACCAATCAACAAGAGAGTTTTTTTATGGTACAATTGCTTCGAAAACATTTCTGGATTCTTGGACAAGCCGTGATTCTTCACCGAATACTGGGACCAAAAAAGGCCAAGAGGCCGAGAAAATGAGCAGTTCACCCACAGGAGACAGAAGTCTGGATTGTGATTCTCACCCAACCACTTAACTTGTCATTTGTAGTATCGAACCATCCGCAAGTTTTGACGCATCCCAATTTTTCAAACACATCTTGAACGTTAAAAGCGAACGTGTGAACTCGCAACCCCCCAATATACAGCAAGCATCAAGTTTGATGCTAAATTGATAAGCACACGCTGCAGGTCCCCAAATCCAGGAATAGATGGAGTCTGGATGATTGTCCCAAATTGATCACCGTCTAATTTAACCAATGATGTACCACGTGTGAATCCCAACGAGAATAGACGAAAACGATGATTGCAACAACAATATGGGTTGGTCTGAAAATAAGCTACCCAAGATCTCTTGGTCGATGATCATTCTCTCACTGAAATAGCCATTTGGGGGTTCCTCCATGTAAGGACCAAGCAAAATCATCAAAATCCAATAAACTGTTGTTGGTGAAAACTGCTTGTTTTTCCTGGTGAAAACCTCCTTTCTTCATGGATACAATATCATTTGTTCTTTTTTTTAGTCATCTCAACTCTCCATGTTTTCTTAGCAACAACTCTTCCACAAAGGTAAAAGGATCACTTCAGAACACACTCTCAGGCATCACTTCAGAACACAGCCATTTTGGATCACTTCAGAACACAAAATAACACAACTCATGGAAACCCCGACATACACACACACATCAGATTTACTGACAGGCGCGAGACTTTGGAAGAAAAACGCGTTCCAAAGCGACACCAACACAAAAAACATCCTCCTATGAGAATTTGACTCGTTTCAACCATGTCATAAAGTCCCACGCCTGCCACGTAAAAGGACAGTCGATGTACAAAAGTGCCACACCTGCCACACAAAATGAAGGTCGATGTAAAAAGGTCCCACGCCTGCCACAGAAAATGAAGGTGAAGATATGAAATAAAAGCCTTGTTGTACTTGATGTAAGAAGCCTTGTTGTACTTGATGTAAGAAGAGCAACGAGACCTTTAGGATTTATATGTTGTTGCACTTGATGTCAGGACTGCCACGACACCTTTAGGGTTTACATGTTGTTGCACTTGATGTAAGGACTGCCACGACATCTTTAGGGTTTATATGTTGTTGAACTTGATGTAAGCAGAGCCACGATACCTTTAGGGTTTGTATCTTGTTGCACTTGATGTAAGAAGAGCCACGGCACCTTTAGGGTTTATATCTTGTTGAACTTGATGTCAGAAGAGCCATGACACCTTTAGGGTTTATATCTTGTTGCACTTGATGTAAGAAGAGCCATGGCACCTTTAGGGTTTATATTTTGTTGCACTTGATGTCAGAAGAGGCACGACACCTTTAGGGTTTATATGTTGTTGAACTTGATGTAAGAAGTGTCACGACACCTTTAGGGTTAATATCTTGTTGCACTTGATGTAAGAAGAGCCATGACACCTTTAGACATCTTTAGGGTTTATATGTTGTTGAACTTGATGTAAGCAGAGCCACGACACCTTTAGGGTTTGTATCTTGTTGCACTTGATGTAAGAAGAGCCACGGCACCTTTAGGGTTTATATCTTGTTGCACTTGATGTCAGAAGAGCCATGATACCTTTAGGGTTTATATCTTGTTGCACTTGATGTAAGAAGAGCCACGGCACCTTTAGGGTTTATACCTTGTTGCACCTGATGTAAGAAGAGGCACAACACCTTTAGGGTTTCTATGTTGTTGAACTTGATGTAAGAAGTGTCACGACACCTTTAGGGTTAATATCTTGTTGCACTTGATGTAAGAAGAGCCATGACACCTTTAGGGTTTGTATCTTGTTGCACTTATGTAAGAAGAGCCACGACACCTTTAGGGTTTATACCTTCTTGCACTTAATTTAAGGAGAGCCACGACACCTTTAGGGTTTATATTTTGTTGCACTTGATATAGAGCCACGACACCTTTAGGGTTTATATCTTGTTGCACTTCATGTAAGAAGAGCCACGACGCCTTTAGTGTTTATATCTTGTTGCACTTGATGTAAAAAGAGCCACGACACCTTTAGGATTTATATCTTGTTGCACTTGATGTAAGGAGAGCCACGACGCCTTTAGGGTTTATATCTTGTTGCACTTGATGTAAGAAGAGCCACAGCACCTTTAGGGTTTCTATCTTGTTGCACTTGCTGTAAGAAGAGCCATGACACCTTTAGGGTTTATATCTTGTTGCACTTGATGTTAGAAGAGCCACGGCACCTTTAGGGCTTATATCTTGTTGTACTTGATGTAAGAAGAGGCACGACACCTTTAGGGTTTTATGTTGTTGCACTTTATCTAAGGACTACCACGACAACTTTAGGGTGTATATCTTGTTGTATACTTGATGTAAGGAGTGCCACGACACCTTTAGGGTTTATATCTTGTTGCACTTAATGTAAGAAGAGCCACGACACCTTTAGGCTTTATATCTCGTTGTACTTGATGTAAGGAGAGCCACGACACCTTTAGGGTTTATATCTTGTTGTAGTTGATGTAAAAAGAGCCACGATGATGATGATGATGATGATGATGACGAAAACGATGATGATGATGATGATGATGATGACGATGATGATGATGATAATGATGATGATGATGATGATGGTGGTGAGGAGGTGCGTTCAAAAGCGATGCATGAGAGCGCGTTCCGAAGCGATGCCTGAAGACGCGTTCCGAAGCGAGGCCCTTACCCTCAACAAATGTTTTAGATCGAAATCTCAGGAGTCTTCCCCAATCTTGCTGCCCACCTGCGCGACTTCCAGAGATTCCTCCAACTTCACCACCTCCTCCCGGCGCTGCTCCAGTTGCACCTGTTGCTCCGCCAGCTCCTCACGGAGAATCAGCGGAGGTTTTACGGTCGAAAATTGGGCGAGGGATTTCATGCGGACGCAGTGATCAAAAATGGTGATTTATAGTGGATTTACCCATTGAAAATGGTGATTTTCCATAGTTATGTTAGTTTACCAGAGGGTAATATAGGGGGATAGGAATATTATGGAATATTCATGTATATATAGAATCGGGAAAATTTCAGAGGAGAATATAGTGGGATAGGAATATTCATAGAATCTGGGAATCTGGTAATATAATATGGTAATGTTGACTGGGATGAAGTTACTAATGATAATAGCAGCTGATAAAGGATGTTTTGTGAGAATTTAGCATCATATGTGCCCCAGTTTTCATATTAGAGATGTTCACTTGAGCCGGTTAAGCTTCACCTCTGCCAAAGTTGAATCACGCATTTTGATTGAATTTATTGGCTGAACATCTAAAATCTAACGTTTTTCCCAGCTGGAATTCCCTATTTCTCCAACCAAACTCCCACCTTTCGTTCAAAACCATCCCAACCTTTTCCAAGTCCAATTTTCCCATTTTTCTCCACGGTTTCCCCAGGTGTTTCCACCTTTTTCCCTCCAAACTCCCAGTGTTTTCCCCGTTGCGTTGCCTTGGCCATGGCCTCCTTGGCCTCATCCATGGCGCCAGCCGAAACGCTGCCGTAGTTTAACCGTTGCTCCAGGGAACGCAGCTCCAAAGTCACCACCTGGGGGGAGAGACGACAAGATGAATCCATGGGATAGATATATATGGCAGTGTGTCAAAACCTTGTACCCCTGTAGTTCACATCAAAATAGCTGGGATTTATGGATGTTCATTCCCCTAAAAATGGTATTAATAGGTATTGATCCATACCAATATATGTTAATGGTATCATAACATGACTATGGAAAATCACCATTTTATCCCTCTGGTCATGTGGGCCATTTTATCCCTCTGGCTATATCAATGGTATAATATTCCCTCTGGTAATTTACCAGTTCGCTATTGAAAATGACCATAGAAATAGCGGATGTTCCCATGGAAAAATAGAAAGCTGAAAACCCAGAAAATACCCTCTGGTAATGACTAACATCACGAACTGGAAAGATCCACCATGCTATTAATGGGATTAATGGGTAAATGCACGTGTGTCAAGATGACCAAGTAGTACAACGAACCCAAACAATAGTCTGTCTAATGGTCTTGCCTCTACCACCGTTTCTGCTGCAAGCTTCGACACAGATGAACTTGCCTGAGGGAGCAAGGGCTCCAGATCTATGAGCAACTACTGGTTTGATCTCCAACAATACAACAGAGCTGCTGCCTGTCATGTTGCAATACTACAACAACAATGCCACGTGTAACTTCAAACTTTGTGCCTTCGTAGCTGTTCCTCCTGTTGCCTGGAAAGAAGATGGGCTTGTCTAAAGAAGGCACAAGCTCCAGCAAACATTCAAATCCAAACCGACACTTCACAATGCTATAGCATTCTCGTTCTCTCACCAGTGCCTCCACAACCGCCCCTGCTGCAGACTTGACACTTGATGGGCTAACCTGACCAAAAAACTGTGACTGTCCCTGCATGTGCCATCAGAATAGACAATCGGAGAAGCTAGTATCAAGCAGGGGGAAAAAAAGATATGTAAATGGAAAAATAGCTGCTTCCCAGACCCGGGGGGGGAGGGGGGGGGTCCTAGGTCTGTGAACGACTAGGAACGACCGGGGCTAGGCTAATCGCCTCCATAGCTGTTCCTGCTGGAACCTTTGAAGTCGTCGCACAAGATGAGTTGGCCTGAACGAGTGAGCTGCTAGAAAACAACCGCGCCGGAAACGCAAAATTTATCCGTGCGCCTACCTCTACCACTGCTTCTGCTGACACCTTCGAAGAAGATGAGCTTGCCTGAACAAGAAACAAGCCCAAGCAAGCCCCTCACAGTAGGCTGATCGCCTCTATAGCTGTTCCTGCTGGAACCTTTGAAGTCGTCGCACAAGATGAGCTGGCCTGAACGAGTGAGCTGCTAGAAAACAACCGCGCCGGAAACGCAAAATTTATCCGTGCGCCTACCTCCACGACTGCGTCTGCTGACACCTTCGAAGAAGATAAGCCTGCCTGAACAAGAAACAAGCCCAAGCAAGCCCCTCACAGCCATGCGGACGCTTCGCGACACAACACCTGCTTGCAAAATTTCTTCGGATACCCGTTTTCATGGCCTGCCTCTAGCGTCAAAGGGGTGCCAAGGGCTTGTAGTGCTGCCTCATATAAACACCCCCCGTGACAACAGTAATTGTCACTCTATCCACACAAGCCTTCACATCCGCAGCAGCTGCTCTGGATAAGTGTGGCAAAGCGGCCTCAAACTCAAGTATCGAAAAGATATCTTATATCATAATTCAAATCAGTACATGTGGCACCTGCAACGACATGACCACGTCCAAAGCAGGTAGCATAGTTTCTGCCTGCCAACAAAATATTCTCTCTCGTTTTCAACAACCAAACCCTGAGTCATTCGCCAACCCCCACCTTCACACTTGTGGGCACTGCGGGATTGCCACTCACAGAGCTGCTCTCGGTGCCCTTGGCAACAACCGGACTTTCTGGGTTGGTCTCCTCGACCTCCCGGCAAAATCTGTGCACGCACCTCCGCCTCCATCACTGTTTCTGTGGCTGACTTGGACACAGATGGGCTGGCCTGAAGGCTGCAGGCTTGGACACAGATAGACTTGCTTGAGGCGAAGGGAGCTCCAGATCTGCGAATTGCTACTCTTGCGAGCGCACGACGAGTCAGTTGATTGCCTCCACAACCATGCCTGCTGCAGCTTCTGAAGGAGTAGCCTTTGCCTGCAAGGAAGACAGGCTGCACCAAAAATGTGCCACGAAGCTACTCAAGAGCCATTCCACAAAGCTAAGACCAATTGGCAACAACTGGTTTGGTCCCCAAGAGTACAACACTGCTGCAGCCTGTCACATTGCAACAAGGCTACTTGTGACTTCCAACACCGCGACACCGCACGGAGAACTCAAAGTATCACTTGCGCCTTTGCAACTGTTCCTGCTGTTGCCTGGAAAGAAGATAGGTACTCAACAAGGAACAAGCTCTTGCCTGGAAAGAAGATAGGTACTCAACAAGGAACAAGCTCCAGCAAAAATTCAAATCCAAACGGATGCTCCACTATTCTATGGCATACTCTGCTCTCTGTAGCGGTTCGTGCCATAGACATGAGGATTCACGACCTTACCAGTCTGGATTGCAGGTCTAAAAATTGGACACAAATCGTTGCCTCCACATCTGCTCCTGCTGCATGCGGTGCTGCTGACGCTTGAGGCGAAGGGAGCTCCAGATCTGCGAATTGCTACTCTTGCGAGCGCACGACGAGTCAGTTGATTGCCTCCACAACCATGCCTGCTGCAGCTTCTGAAGGAGTAGCCTTTGCCTGCAAGGAAGACAGGCTGCACCAAAAATGTGCCACGAAGCGACTCAAGAGCCATTCCACAAAGCTAAGACCAATTGGCAACAACTGGTTTGGTCCCCAAGAGTACAACACTGCTGCAGCCTGTCACATTGCAACAAGGCTACTTGTGACTTCCAACACCGCGACACCGCACGGAGAACTCAAAGTATCACTTGCGCCTTTGGAACTGTTCCTGCTGTTGCCTGGAAAGAAGATAGGTACTCAACAAGGAACAAGCTCCAGCAAAAATTCAAATCCAAACGAATACTCCACTATTCTATGGCATACTCTGCTCTCTGTAGCGGTTCGTGCCATAGACATGAGGATTCACGACCTTACCTGTCTGGATTGCAGGTCTAAAAATTGGACAACAATCGTTGCCTCTACATCTGCTCCTGCTGCATGCGGTGCTGCTGACGCTCTCTGCCGAAGAGCGGGTTGCCTTGACCGCCCACAACCAAAACCACCTGTAACAACGTGAAACAACCTTCCTTGCGGACACAGCACAGAAGTGGCCGAGCTTTCTTTGGAAGAGATGGCGGCCTTAGCTCTGATAGAAGAGTTGCTAAAGCCAAAACATCCAGCTGTAACCAAAACTACTTGCAACAACGTGAAACAACCTTCCTTGCGGACACAGCACGGAAGCGGTCGAGCTTTCTTTGGCCGAAGAGCGGGTTGCCTTTACCGGCCACAACCAAAATTACCTGTAACAACGTGAAACAACCTTCCTTGCGGACACAGCACAGAAATGGCCGAGCTTTCTTTGGAAGAGATGGCGGCCTTAGCTCTGATAGAAGAGTTGCTAAAGCCAAAACATTGTAAGCCATAAGCAATTGGCTTGACCAACTGTAACCAAAACTGCTTGCAACAACGTGAAACAACCTTACTTGCGGACACAGCACGGAAGCGGTCGAGCTTTCTTCGCAAGCGGTGGCGGCCTTAGCAATGATACAAAAGTTGCCACAGCCAAAACATTAGAAGATATGGAGCACGCCCCCTTGCAGCCACAGCGCGCCAATCCAATTGGTAGCGCAGGGTTCTTTGGACGAACAGGTGGCCTGAACCACAACAAAAAACATCAAAAACCGTTTTTCTCCAGCCACCATGACTAACAACGTGCCAAAACAACACACTTGCAGACACAACACGCAAGTCCAATTGGAGTTGCAGTTCTTTTCGCTGGTGGCCGGAACCAAAACAAACAAGAGCAAAAACTTTGTTGCCTCAGTTGCCATGAATAACTCCCCAGTCATGAATAACAAGCAGCCGAAAAACACACTTGCAGACAAAGCACGGAAGTCCAATTGGAGGTGCCGCTCTTTTCACTGACCTCGTCTTGTTACAAACACCTACTAGAAACATCGCCTCTTCATAAGGCCTTCCTGACCGATTCCTGATACCACATGCCAACGCAACACCCCCAAATAACCACAATACTTCTCCTAGACAGAATCACCAAGTAACGAACGCGGCGGGAACACCGCCTTTGTCCTCGCCCCGAGACTTCTAGCCCCTGCAGCCCTTGGCCTCAACCGAAGACGCAAAGCATATTTCGAAACAATTACAAAACGCGAACCGCGTCACAACCGCGTCTCTGCAAACAGGGCACGGCAGGTCCGCGGAAGCAAACACTGTCAGCGGCGGCGGCGTGGAAGCACGGACCATGGCAATTTCTGCTACACGTCTTCTGCTTTCTGTAACACTTTCCTGTAGTTTCCTGCCTTCTCATTGTATTTTCTTCACCGGTTTCAACTACTTGTTTTCACTGCATTTGTAAACTCCATCATCACAGCAGCGGCACGCACGTTTGGACAGTTATTCAACACTGACAGCTGAACAGCAAAAACAACCACAGTTAGATAGATTTAATGCGCATCCCATCAATTGCTGAGGATGCCACAGCCACAGTCTACCACGACTGTATTTCGTACATCCACGCATAACCTATCCATCAAGCCAACTATTGTTTGTTTTGCAAAGTCTGCGGTGACTGAAAACAAATTCCCCTACACAGGATCAGTTGACGGAATCTGCTCAACTTTTTGCTTGAGATAATCCTTTGGTATTAAACCCTGTACCCAATGCCATTCCAGTTCTGAGGCTTGAGCACCCTACCGAACTCCTTGCTCTCAGAGCCCACGCATCGATCACGAACCAGCAGATGTTGCTTGAACCACACGCATCTCGGAGCTCACCAACCACACTCTATAGCTTATCCTATCTATCAGACCAGCATACCCAGAACAACAGTTTTCGAAACAGATCATCTAGCAGTTCTTTCACACCTTCGAAAGACGTCCCATTCACCAATCAAACGGAGATTTTCCTGCGCGCCACTGGTTTTTTCATCGTTTCCGCTCGTTAACAGTGTTTTGGTTTTCACTATATTTTTTTAAGCATTTTTAGTTATAACATTTTTCTTGGTTTTCACTGTATTTTTCTAACATGCTACATGCCTCCTAGCATGTTCACGTGTGTCCTTCATGTTGTACTATTTTCTACATCGTTTCCTCTAGTTGTTACAAGCATTTCCTAGCTTGTACACCGTTTTCCTAATATTGTCACAACTTTGCTTCCAGTTTCCACGGTTTTTTCTACCGTTTCCTGCGGTTACTTTCTTCTCTTTTCTAGGTTTTCAGGGCGTTTTGTCCAGCTTTTTTTATTACATGCTTCCCACCATTTTCACCGCTTTCCTCTATGGCTTTTTGTACCATTTCCTCTCGTTTCCTGCATTTCACGCATTTTCAATATATTTTGCCCAGAGTTTTACCCGTCTCCTTCAGTTTCCAATCGTTTTTGCACCATTTCCTCTGGGTGTTATCGCATGTTTCATTGTATTTTCCAATACATCCTCATGGTCTCTCCGGCCACCAAAAAGGCGGACCTAGGGAGAATCGATACCCCACCGTCAGCAAATTGCCTAGTGGTACATAGTCCAGCAAAATGCTCCGTTTTCTGGCGCTCCTCACAGCCTTACGGCGAGATTTTGTTCCCTTTCGGCAACCACTCCCCCCCACACCCCCTATTCTCACTTCGTTCGCAAACAGCAACTAGCCAGCTAGCTGGCTTTCGTAAAAATGATAATAACAATAGTAAAACAATCAGCAAAGACAGCAAGAGACAAAAAACACAACAGCCGAACACCGCAATCAGCAACAAACGTAAGCAGTACGAAAAGAGGGAAACCGTGAAACCTGCAAAATATCATACAAATCAACACTACAACAACAATTTAATGGGAGATAAAGGCAACGAGAAAAAAACAAACAACATCGAGCAACAATGAACAAACATCAATGCGCAACAAGAATCACCAGCCATCGACTGGCCATCAACAATAATCAACCACAATCAACAAGTGCAACAGCAAGAAGAACAAGAACAAGAAAGGGAAGAGTCGAAACGGAAAGAAATGAGAACCATAATGGAATCTAATGGGATTTGATGGCATATAATGGGACTTATTAGTGGGATTGAATGGGATTTCATGGGAATTCAATGGGAATTCAATGGGATTTAATGGGAATTGAATGGGATATGAACAGGACTGTGATTTATCTGAGACGGCGCGGCCTGCACCGTACTTGAGGCTACAGCCAGAAGCGAAGCAAGAAGTGTCCTGGCCGCATGACACGGGTCATCACTTCGCTGGGAAATCCGGAAACATCGCGAAGTCAATGGAAGCTTCCAGCTGGGAGAATCTAGATATGAAATGATACAAATTTATGTAAAGAAACGGAGAAATTGTCGCCATGTTTACCATGTTTGATTACTGGGGGTAACCTTTCAGATAAATCCAATCCCTCGTCAAGCTGCCGAAGGGGAACTCATCGAACTCGCGACCCACGGTTCAGTGATGTACAGTGTACTACCTTTACCAGAGGGTACCCTAGGACACCCATGGAGGCTGAAAGTTGCAGTGAAGTCAGTCATGGTGCTGGCAGCGTGTCTGTTTCATTCAGTCCAAGACCTCCAATGACATGTTGTTTTGGGAAGAACCATGGATTCATAGCTTCCGTAAGGTTCAAGGGAGGACGCAGCTTAAATCCAACAGGTCAGTCCAACTCTGGATGCCCAAAAACACTAGGGATAGGTTTTGACCCATCCCCATCCACCCTGGAGGCCTCACTATCATTGTCCTGTTGTCCTGGGCTAAAAAGCATCTGCAAATGGGAGATGTCCATCGCCAAATTATACTACTGAAGGAAACCCAAAATGTTGCCAGCGGAATTTACGGTCAACCAGGATGTTTTTGTGCTAAAAGTTTGGGGATTTGTTCTTGGTGCTGGTTCCGATTCAATATGTGTTTAGAATTTGTTGATCATGCAGACATTGCTGCTCATCATTAATCATCTCACTTCTGGAAGTGATTGGGGCAAAATGTACCATCTGGTGCACAAACGTTGATCTCGATAAATGCACATGGAAGCAGTAAAATCATGAACAAAACACAAGAAAGCTCATGTTTGGGAGCGTTTTTGACAAGTCAAATGCACCTTTGATCCAATCCAGGGTCATTGGGCTTCCAGGTAAAGACAATTGCGGCTTGGAACCATCGAGGTGCCACAAAACCTGGCCTGCGAGGGACAAAAACTTCCAGGCTCACATGGCCGCGGATGAAGTCTTCAGTGTCGCACCAGTTCTGATGGCTAGTTGCGGCTAGTTGTAGTGGCTTGAAACTGGCTGAAAAAGTGGGACCCCAGAAGAAAAACATCCCGAATCAATCTCAGCGCTCGACAATGTTTAGAGCCTGACTTTGAGGTAGATAGCGGTTCTGGTCATGACACCAATGTCACGCAACGTAGCATTGTCTTTTCCATCATCCACTTGTAAATTTGAGTGTCTGATGGCACTGATAGTTCCGCCAAGAATTGACATTACTCTTTGGTTAGTTTATATTAGTTTATTAGTTTATTAGTTTAATATGGCTATGGAAGATCATAGTAGGTAAATCATCGAACTAGATGGCCCGGGCTTCCATAGCTTCGTTTCGACCACTCTGGTGGAGATTCCCTGCCTAGAGGTGATCAGCTTGAGCCACGCGACAATGTCACAACGGGGTGTCACCGATGATGTCACCGTGTCACCAGGACTCACTTTGACATTGTGGAGAGTACCCTCTGGTAATGACTAACATAGCTATTGAAAATGGCCATTTATAGTGGGTTTTCCCATTTAAAATAGTGATTTTCCATAGTTATGTTAGTTTACCAGAGGGTAGATCTGTTTACACTTCACTGACAGTGGCTATGATCCCAACAATCCTCATCAATGATCCCTCAACTCACAGCAGGCAACGTGCCTTCGATTATTAAGAAAACAGTTGCAAACCGATTCTTATTGATCCATATCCTTTTTTGTTGATATCTATATCTATGTCATATACATCATTATCCATCTATCTCTCTATATAAATATGACGCATATTACATAGATATCTGCGTCTGGAGGTTTCCTAAGTCATGGGGGGCACCCCCCAAATCATCCAAGTCCTAAACGACCATGACGACTAGTGACTAGTGACTTGAAAGAACCAAGGTGACTTGGGGATCCAAACCATGACTTAAGAAACCCCAAATTTTACCTCACATATTTTTTAGATATATGCGTGTATATATATATACATATGTGATTGTGTGTGTGGGTTTGTCTGAAAATAGGCTACTCCCTATTCCAATGGATTCTCTTCATTTTCCTCATTTCAATGGCTATTTGTGTGTATCCCCTATTTTCAGACAAACCCATACATCAGATCAAGTTGGTGAACTATATGATTTTCCATTTTTAACCACATTAAACATCATTTCATTATACCATACAACTCTGCCGGGAGCTCCACGTCTCTCCTTTTTCCTCGACATCTCGAGGCTTCGCGTAGGCTTCGGGGTGCGCAGAAATGATGGAGGAGTCCTGGCGAGGATGGTCGTTGTTTTTGGGGGGGTGTGGTTTGTAGGTTTGTATAATATCATAAATCTATACGTATATATATATATATACAATGTATATATATATATACATATTGTGTATTGTATATCTACAATGTATGTGTACACGTATGCATATAATATATAGTATTATATTATATTATGTATATAATATCATATATACTGTATTATATATATGTACATATTATAATATATATATAATAATATATATATAATAATAATAATAACAAAAATAATATATATCATATCATATGTATATATTATTATATATATACATCTATATGCATAATATACATATGATATCTATATGTATATGTTTATAAATAATACATGCGTATATACATATATTTATTCATTGTACATATCATGAACATGTACTATGTATATATGTATATCATACGTGTATATATATATATACATATCAAAATTAGATGGTTTTGGAATACTGTAACTGTGCAAATCATTATGTGACATAGATTTGAAACTTAGTGTCACTTGAGGGGCCTGGAAATAATGCTGAGACAGCTTCCGGAATGGAAAAAGGCAGCGGGAGGCTTGCAAGGCGTTCGATCGTACAAGTAGATTGTGATATATTGTGATCATGTCCTTCTCAGTATGACTTCACGCGTCGCTTGATTTGGATATCTAATGTATCCCAAGCTATCCAGATACCAACAGGATTCGACACCACCGTGCAGTTTCTGGAGTCAAACTGCTCGCAGCATCTGCGTTTGTCTTTGCTGCAGGATCATCTTGATGCAATTAGCCACGAGTTCTGAAGGGAATAGGTTTTTCCTAGGCGGGTGCAGTTCCAGTCAAAAGTCGATTTCTGAGTTCTGCACGCTAGTTTTTTGGGCCTACCCTCTGGTTATGACTAACATAGCCATGGAAGCCATGGCCCATAGAAATAGATGGTTCACCGTTCTTAAAAATGGGTGGAATGGTGGAATGTTCCATGGCAAACTGTTAGTCATAACCAGATGCTAGGGCTTGCAGCGGCTGGTGGTTTCCCAAGTCACTCCCAATCATCCTCATCCCAGCTGGCTCAGCGCTCCTCTGCTTAGAACCAGGTCTGAGGCCTGGTGACCCGATCGATAGGTTTCTTGGGGGATTCGTCTTAATGATGAGGATAGGATGGAATATGAATGGAATATTCACATATGTATCTATATATATATACATGTATATATATATATATGTATATATATATATCAATGATTAATAGAATATGAATGTAATATCAATGGAATATGAACGGAATACAGATGCAGCGCTTCCGTGCTCCCAATGGTGCACCACACCCAACGGGTAGCACACGTTTTTCTATGAACGACCAGGGTCGCACATCTACCCATTATTGTGCTTGGTGAGGGTGCTGAGGCTGCTTGTGCCGGTGTCGATGCATCTTCCTTGTGGGAATGAGGGATTTCCTCCCATCCTCCTTGTTTGCTGGCTGCTTGGATTGGAAGTTGCATCTGACCTCGTCCTGCGAAAAAAGCGCATGGTGGGTACACTCGGATTCTGTGACTGGGTCACCCTTGGGAGTCTGGATGGTACTGGCAACAGATTCCTAGCACAAACCGCACCCTATAGCTCTAAGATCTGGAGCCCGGGTGACATTGAGACCAGATTTTGTTGGCGATTTTCCCAAGGCTTTAACAGCTTCTGATCCTACAGGAACGTTGCAACAGGCATACACATTGCGCAACCAATCTTGAGGAATGATGAACAGTGTTCCATGAAATATTATGAAATGAGCAGTGTTCAAAACCCAGTGTTGTCCCTTTGTACTGGTTGGTTGGTAGTATAGCCCCCTATGATTAATCATCAGCCAACAAGGGTTTTGACATGTTTTGACCATTGCTCAAATGTTCATCCTTACCACCACGCCACAAATAAATGGTCCCAATTCACCGGTCAGGGTTCCCAAGGAGCTGTGCAATGGACGAGACCCTTTGGACTCTTCCGAAAAACTGGACGCACAGCGAAGCTTTTAGGGCCGACCTCGAAGATCATTGGCATTCTCATATTAATCCAGTTTGGGGGGCTATCCTGCAAATCCTCAAGGCTCCAAATATAGTGCAAATATGATGGTTAGAACTGCACTTCTGAGAAGGCCCTTGGATTGGCTTGGATAAATTCCAACTACTGTATCTTTCAGATACAGATGATACAGATATACGTAATTTATATATATACATTATATATATATACAGATATACAGTATATATACATTCTGATTATTATGTGAATATATATATATATATATGTACAAGAATATACATATGCATTTTTTAATTGATATCTTTATATATCTTTATTATTATTCATTTCACAGGCGGTTTTTGATATGAACTTCATCAAACACTTGCCAGCTTCCAACCAGCGACAAATCGACGAGTCTGGCGGGGAGTCATAATATGGCTTCTAGCAACCCCAAAAAAGATAGAAAAAAGTGTTTCCAGGATGGTAGTTCGATGATGTGTCCCTCAAAAAATGTTCGATGTGTCCGAGGATTCTATCGGTTTGGGGATTGCGATTAAGTCCAAAACATCTACCAAAGTTGAGGTTTTTTTGTCCCAAGTTATGGCCAACAACTGGATATACCCTCTTTTCACATGCGAAATACCAGGTGCACCTGGTTTCTGTTGCTGAAACGGCTGAAACCAACAAAGAAGACTTTGGAGATGGTATCTCGAACGTTGATTCAATTTATTTCTATTTGGTGATAGTGATCGTAGAATAATTATAGCTGGCTTATATGTTTCCAACAAGCTATTGTATTTCTCTCCCCTGTTTCCAACATAGCTTGGTCACTCGTGGCCAAGAAAAGCGTCGCAGGCGTCTCCCGAGCTATGCGCACAAAACCAGGAATCTCTCCGGTCTGCCGGGGGTGGCGAGCCAGTGGACTATCCCAGTAAGCTTATTCTCAAACTATGCCAGATGGAGTTGAGACGCCTTGAGGATAAAAATTACACGAAACTCATGGGTTTTTGAATGGTCTGGACATATTTTGACTGGTTATTTTCATGATCTATAGAAATTTGAGGGTGTCCTGTCCTTGCCCCTGTAGGCTAATTCTGGCAATCTAGGGAATGTCGCAAAAATCAAAAACTTAATGTCACAAATTTCAAAGGTCTTCAAATTCGCTCACTTCATGGTCTATCCTAGGGTCGAGAGACCAATACACCGGCAAAGCGTCCGAGGGTAAGGTATCCAGAAGTAGACTGTGGATCTTTGTCTTGGCACCTGCATTTTGAGCTACAACCATGCAGTGGTGTGCTGCAGCAAGATGTACAGACATGAAATAATACATCTCGTGTCTGATTCCAAGCTGAAGTGTTCAGGTTTCTCATGTAGAAGTTCGCTTCTTCTCGACAGAGACGGAGTATTGATTGGCATCATTCACATGAGGCGATTGATTGGCATAACCTCCATGTTTCTGCTCACAGAAAATTAACGAAATAGATCCATCATTTGTAGATCATTAGAATTCATTAGATCATTTCTCGAGGAAGCTATGGATCCCATGGATTTGCATGGATTTTCATTTCTTTTGGTATCTTTACCCAAGGTGAATAGTCCTCCCTGGTACTCATCCTGGTCCCCGAGTCGTTATGGGGGTCCGGACCGCCACCCGAGTCGATTCCTGCGCGCGTCGTCGCTTCACTCTTTTTTCGCTTGCCGGATTTTCGTGGACGGCACGGAAGGATTCTTTTTGAGGGTTTATAGCAACCCCCCAAAAGAGATAGACAAGGTATGACAAGGTCCAATTCATCACTATTGTAGTGGGATCTGTCACGATTCTATCTTTTGGGAGGTGCTTTTCTATAGAAGGTATGATTGCTACGGATCTAATGGCGAATATCCACTCGATAACCTGCGATACATCCCATTTCTGTCTAAGGATGATCTCATCGACAACTCCAAGTTTGACCCAGAGCTGAGACATCCAAGGGTTTCAAGAATGGAGAGCTATAAGTCATGTATGAAGATCAAGAAGTGGAAAGTGGTGAAGATATGGCAGATATGGGAAGATGATCCATTCCAACTGGACCTGGTATATCTCAAAACCTCATGTATTTCATGAAACCGCAAATTTGGATGTACATACATCGCATCAAAAACAAATTGACATACACACTCTGGGAAATGGAAGATTTGCCCCTTTGCAGATGATTTGCGTGTTGATCATGATGATTTTCTAGCGCTGAGTTGGCTGAGAACGGCTTGTGGCAATGCTGCGGTACAAATGATTCATCCCTTGATGCTCGAGAGGGATTCTCGCTCAGGGGAATGTCTGTGTGACAGATACTGCGCATCATTTTGGATAAGCTCTGTGAATCGTCTTAAAAGTACGGAGGGTACTTGATCTGTTTGTGTGGTCCAGGAAATGACCAGCCCAGGATCAAATCGGAAGTGATGGTGGGTAGGTAGAAGCAGGTCCAAAAAACATCCCAAAACTGGTTCATGGTTCAAGCATGTCTGTCTCTTTGTTCTGCATATTTTTCAAGATTGCCATTTTCGATCAATGAAATCCCTGAAAATCCAGCAGCCATCGGCAATTGGAATATTTTGATTTTCTCCGACAGGAGTGACAGGACATTGTGTGACTCGTCGCATTTCTGAATTCATCGCCGGCTCAGGGGGCAATGTTTCTTGGCCGCGGATCCACTAGTTGGTGGTTTCAAGCCATCACAAAGAGTTGCGGATCGTCATCCCAAAGTCGGTTCATTTTCTTTAAAATGTTGAAGCCACCGGCAACCACTTAGATGTCTCAGATTCTTGCCTCTGCTCCTGTTTCAAAGTCATCCAGAGAAAAAAAAAAACGACCGTTGGGCTTCGCACCAAGCAGGAGATCACGTGGTTGCTCAGCCGCCCTCCCAGCGTCAGTAGGGTCTGAACATCATATTTACGCGGTGAGGCTCATCCTTAGTGGCTGAGTGGACTGTCCAAGCTGCGGCTGTAGGATATCATATCTGAAGATTAGATGGCTGGGATGATCTTCGCAAAAAAAATGGATCATTGATGATAATTGGATGGCTGCAATCATTGGATATCCATGATATTCCATGATATATGATGGCAAGTTAAGCATTCCGCATTTGAAAATGACCGACCAGGTTGAACCTCTGGAAGCCGCGAGTCGGAAACCAGGATTGAGAAGGTCACAGTGGGGGTTGGGAAGTGGCTTCCAAAAATGGCAGTGCAAGTACTTAGACCTTACAAAAGACATGTTAGTAGTTGTTAGTATATGGTCTCTATAGAATGGGAAGCCATGACATTGGACATGACTGTCACCCAGCAGGTTAACATCACTAAAAAGTGCTGATCTGACCCCCCCCAAAAAAAAAAACTAACTATAAACCCCCAAAAAAAATATCTATATATATAATGGGGGACTCACTCGACCCCTGAAAATGAGATATAAAATGTGTATTTAAAAATGCTTTTATCCGATGTATGTCCCCCCCATTCTATAGAGGAGATTCCTAAGAGAATTCGTTATGTATATATATATATGAAATTACATTAGTTATATATAATGATATATTATGATATGTATTATATCAAATTCACCTTCGAACCTGACCAGGCATCCGGATGCGGAGAACACTCGAAGGTGCGCACGTGCAACTCATCCACGGTGACTTTCCGAGCCTGCTCCCGGGGCTAGGATCCAAATGGTCATCTGATACTGTAAGCATCATATATTAGGAGTATCTTTGCATATAATCAGATATGTTCATGGGATTCATGAGTATATATATATATATACACATATGTATATATATATATACATACATATATATATATATGTACATTAATACATTGATACATAATATGCATATCAGGCCGCATATAGCTATGTCATGGATTGCCATGGAATATTCGTCATTCCTGTGAAACACAGATTCGGCCTGTGAGGGTGTGATGTCGCAAACAGCCCCGAGGTTACCGCACACATCGCAGTAGTTCCTAAGCGCCGTGATGGCCGTGGAAAGGTTTGTCGAAAGATGGGGTATACCGCAAGATGGCCATTGTACCCTCCGGCAAACGTGGCAGTGGAAAAAATTATAGATGATGTTCCCATCAAAGCCCCCATTTATGAGGATTTTCCATTGCCTCGTTTCATTACTAGAGGGTAATCATCAAATTTGGCGGAGCCATTTTCAGACACGCTCATGAATGTGGGACGCGTTTGAGGCCGATGGCTAGTGACATCTAGTGACAAATATTCCCTGTGAATGCACGCAACAGATCCCATGTTCAGTCTTACCTTTTGGTCTCCTTTCTTTCAATATCTTAAATAGGAACACAACACCAGAGCCACATCCACAAAGAAGGCAGTTCTTACAGTTGCCATTCTGGCTGACCAAGATGCGGAGCAGAGAAGATGGTCAAACATCGATTCATGTGCTGCCATTCAAAGCCCTGCCACTGTCGCTGCTTCAAGCCAGGAGCAACTTCTTATGTTATGAGTTGACGAAAATTGGGACACACCAACTCATCTGCACATGTGGATTGCACGAAGACATGGCAGGAATTCTTCAGGGGAACATGTGTCTCCCCATCGACCCTCCGACCTCAGGTTTCATCTCATGGGACCTGATAATACAGCACAATCCGTTGTCCTCACAGAAGCCTCGGAGCTGGAGACGACCCAAGGCGACTGCCAAACATGAAGATATACCCTTTGGTTGAACATTGCTATGGAAAATGGGCCATTCACAAATGATTGCCTGTTAGAAATGGATAGAAATTGTGATTTTCCAGAGCTATATTAAGTTTCGAGAAGGCTGTTGAGGTGGAAAAATTGCAGTTGAATTTGGAAAAACATGAGCCAACATGCCAAAAGCATTGGGTTTCACGGCTGCAACTGCTGTCAACTGATCAATAACACCAAGTCTGGTCACAAGGCATCTGATCCAAATCACACATCCCACGCCATCGCACAGCTCCGTTCATGCAACACGCAGGTGTGTTGCATCCCTACTTACCTTTGATCCCAAGAAATTTTGGCCTCACAGCTAGGCCCATGTTGTGAATCAACATTTCGGAACCAGAAAGACCGTCATAGACCCCTAAGTAGCCACACTTCACTAAGTAGTCATCCCAGTCGCATCCCATCCCAATCATCCCAATCATCCCAGATATCCCAGTCTTCAGAGCCCAGTTCAACAAACCGTTGCCCCAGTTGCGGCAAAACTGCCGCGACTAACCGTCCAAGCTGCGTTCTGTGACGTCGGGGCCAAAGAGCACCCCGCCTCCACGGGGGCTCGGCAGCCGACCCAACTGATCCATGGGATCCGACCACAGCAGATCCTGTGGGAAGACTCTTTTTGTAGAGATTTATTAAGATAGATTGGGAGAAAAGAAGGGGATTTAACCGGATAAAAAATGGGATGTATTGGGTATTCGATGGGATTTATTGAGACTGGGATTTAATGGGATTGGGATATAGATATAATTAGATATAGTGGGGATTTGATAGGTTTTAACAGGATTTATTTGAGATTGAAGTGGATTCAATGGGATTGAATGGATTGCAATTGGGAAAAAAGGGTGATAGAATGGGGATATTCTGGTGGTGTAATGGACGATAATGGGATAATGTTGATATGACTATCCCCTTATATCCATAGTATGATTGGTTTTAACCCCCCATATCCATTATTCTTATCCATAGCAGCTATAGAACAATCCATCTCATTATATCCCTATGATATCCGAGCGGTTAAAACAAATTCGATATGGCTAAATCCCCCCCAACTAACATAGACATGAGAATCACCACATTTAGATTTAGAGGAGTGTAGTCTCCCCAATGTTTTTTTTCATGGCAGAATCTATGGTTAATTTGCGGGATAGTAAATCACCGTCCCATGATGGTCAAAAAGGCAAAGCATCGAACTAAATTGACCATTTTCTATAGCTATCTTCAATTCCCGATTGTTCTAAAGCCCCCATTCCAACAACCGTAACCAACCATTGAATTTTGAATTTTTCAACCTACCCCGCTTCATTATCAAACGTGGCAATGGAAAATCCCCTTGCCAAAATGGAGGTGTCTAGCTGGGAAAATAGGGGGGTGTTCCAGCAAGCCATGTTTGATTTACCGGAGGGTATATATACATATATCATATAGAGTGTCACCACTAATCACTACTAACTACTACTAATCACTAGTAATCATTATTAATTTGTTAATCACTATTAATCATCAATTAAACACTATGTACTATGAATCACTAGTAATTAATCACTGTTAGCAATCATTAATCACTAATAATCATTCATAATTCAGCACTATTAATCATGACTGCCATCATTATTATTGATCATCACTCCCATCACACAATAATCATTAATCATCACTATAATCATCATCATTAATCATCACTATGACTACAATCATCATCATTAATCATCACTATCATCATCATTAATCATCATTCATCATCATTAATCATCATTAATCATCATTGACCATCATTAATCATCATTCATCATCATTAATCATCATTCATCATCATTAATCATCATTAATCATCAGTGATCATCACTGTTAGTAATCAGCCCTTCCCAGGTCCCATAAGTCAGCGTCCAGCATGAGCTGATCCGCCGTCTCATCGGGTTCTCGCAGCCGATTCAGCTGTTGGATCTCCGACAATTTCACACCGTCCTGGACGAGGTCAGCGACATGTGGGGACGAGGTCGAGGCTTTCATTGGGAATTGCATTGGGAAAATCTACAGGAAACCATGCTTTTTACCATTGAATATAGGGGTTTCCTGCAAATGTTCCCATCATCCAATTCTATGTTAAGGATTTTGTGAAATGTTTGGGGAATGTATGAGAAAATCATGAGATTTACTGGGATTTAAGATGATTTCATGATGCTTCTGGGACTGAATGGGATATAATATTGTGGAATGTAACCTACTATGGATGGCAATTGGGGTGTTATAAATGGCTATAACCATGGGATTTTGATATAAGTTGGGATACAATCAACCCCTGTGACCTGAGATTCTACTTTTTTTCCTGGAACTGCCACTGCGTGGCACTGTGTGGATGGGCCTTGGAGCTAAGGCCGCCGTGCACCACGAAGACGGAATCGTTGACCAACGTACAAAGTGGAAGATGAGTAAAAGCGTCTGAGAAGAGCCGAAACAACTCCTGACGTCCGCGAAGATGTCCATGAAATGGACCAGGGCAAGCTGCTACCATCTCCGGTAAGAAAAAAAGGGTAATTTGTTACGTAGCGGAAGCCATGGCCTGTTTACTTCGATGATTCCCGGATCAAAATAGTGATGTTTCAAAGCTATAGTGGCCTGATGGGACGGTGAATGTTGAAGAAAGCAAGTTGCAATGCAAGGAAGTATATCATAGATCATACGGTATGGTGCATGCTGCCAGATATACACACAAGTATATTCATCCGCTGAAGGCATGAGGTTCTCGCACGAGATTCTTGCTCTAAGGCTGAGGGATTCTCTTTTGTAGCGCTACATCTCAAGCAGTTATTTCATGTCAAAAAACATATACTGATTAGAATGATAGCAGGCAAAGATACATCTTGGCAGCCTTTGCAATCCAGTTCCATCATTCCAAAAAAATATGTCAAGGCATTCTGCCTGCGCAACTGGAAAGTGTTCCTATCATGGCAGGACCTTCTCCACCGGGGGAATCTTCTGTGCCGAGGCTCGTTGCTGTACTTCTCTTCTGTCTCGTGCCTGGGAAATCGGACCCATGACTTGGCAGTGCCCCTGATGGGGGAAAGTAGCTCGTTGGTTAAAGATAACATAGCTACCAAGGGGGGCCCCCCTAGTTATAAGTTGGTTTATAAGCCCCAATAACTATATTTATAAGTACCATAAACCATAGTTATTGGAGTTATGTGCACCAACTTAGCTATCGAACGGGGGCCCCACTTTGTACAGTAAGGTAAAATCATTCGTCCCCGGGTAACTATTGCCCACCAGAAGTTCCACAAAAACGTGCATGTTTCATACGAGGAGCATAGTAGTGCGAGGTATGATTTCTAGGTACATCGGGGTTCATGCCCACGAAACAGGGCATGTTCGTTCCCTATAAAGGTCAACTTTTGCGGGGCTAACCACTATTCACCCTCCTGTAAACTAACATAGATGTGGCAAACCCACTGTTTGTAAATCATTTTCCGTTTTTGTCCACATCTTTTTCCCACTTTTTTTTTATGTTTGCTCTAGGGTATTCGTTGAACCTCATTAACCAAACAAAACTTCCGGAATCACCGGTGAACCCCCTTTCTTCCAGTCGCGCCAAGTCGCAGAAAGCCGTAGAGAGCATTCATTCGAGTTGCCTCGCCGCTGTCCGGAAAGTCGACGACCAAAATCGATACATCTAAAGTAAAGCAAGTAAATAGAAACACATAAACAGACACTGGAAAGAATATGTTTATTGGATCTGATTGGAATCAAAAGAACAAGATTGCTTTGTGCTTCTCAGGAACACCAGCAGTTTCGCTATGTTACGTTCTATCGTGTCCTTCCCTTTGGAGTTTTTTCAAGGTGGAAAAAAAGATCCGAAATAGATCCTATCTATATGGCTATAACATGTGTATACAATATATACATATACATATATGCATATAAACACATTTACACATATACACGTATGCACATATACACACAGATACATATACATACATACATACATACGTACGTACATACATACATACATACATTCATACATACATACATACATACATACATAACATAAAATAAAATAACATAACATTACATTACATTACCATTACCATTACCATTACCATTACCATTACCATTCCCATTACCATTACCATTACCATTACCATTACATTACATTACATTACATACATACATACATATATGGTATCATATGACATATATATATATATAATTACATAAATAATTACATAAATAATTACATATATAATTACATATATAATTACATATGTAATTACATATATAATTACATATATAGTTACATATATATATATATATACATATGTGTGCATATGTATATATTGTATATATATATATGTGTATATTGCATATGTTGTGTATATATATATAAACATACACCAAGCAATGAAAATGTCCCCCCCAGTTTCTTCCGCGACGGCCTCATGGTTGCCACGGTTCAAATGAACGGCACGAGGATAGCACACCTTCAGCGCCAGCAAAAGGAAGGCCACCTCCACGGAAAATTGACCTCGATCCACCTGAGAAGTGGAGAGAGGGGATGGCGCAGGACAAGGTGATTTTAATGGGATTTTAATTGGACTTCAATGGTGATTATTCGTGGGATTTCATGGGATGTAATGGGATTTTGATGGGATTTAATGGGATGTTGACGGGCTTTAATGGGGATTTCATGGGATTTTAATGGGAAATTGATGGGTATAATGTGGTAAACCCATGTAAACTCAATAATTAGCAACTACCATTTGTGGATGGTATTTACCACCCATCTCTATGGTAGTTTATAATTGGGTTTGCCACGTTATAGATGATTTACATTATGAAAAATGATGGCTTTCCATAGCTACGTTAAATTACTAGAGGGTATGCTGGAGATGCAATCGCAAAGGGTAGGGAAGGATGGGAATTGCTGATTGATTCCGCGCTTTCTGAATCACTCGTGGTCACTTTTTTTTGCTGTTTGTTTCACAGTATTTCGGAAAGGGCCCTTTTTGAAGTACGTAGTCTAACCTTCCTAATCCTCTTATCTGCCAGGGCTGTCAAGCTTGAAATTCCCGGTTTCCACACCATCCAAACACAACCTTGTCCCTATTCTATATGGAACAGGTGGTTTGCCTTCACGTTGGCTCAAATATCACTGAGCGATGGTTTCAATCCCAAAATCATGTCAAATATGTCGTCAACTTGGATAACCTTCACAAATAGGGATCGCAAACAGAGAAATGATTGGAGACTCACTTGGCTAAGGCTCAAAACCCTGGTAGCTTTCTGTGCACGTCGAAACAGCTAGTATAGCTGGATGTTCATCCCCCCAAACATGGTATCATAGGTTTTAACCGTTTAACGGTTTAACCGTTTGACCGTTTAACCGTTTAACCGTTTAACCTATCCCCATTTCTTAAGCCACAAACGTTAAAAAAAAACGGTTTCCAGGTCACGAAGTCGCCATTGAAGAGATACTGATTCCGTGGCGACGGATCCTTGGATGCAAGCGATTCACCAAAGGACCTGAAGGGGAACCCGGGATGAGCCACTGGCAGCCACTCAGCTGCGTGCCAAGGATCCCCACACATCTCTAACAAGTGCAACAGGTCCCAGAATTGGCCATGCAAATCGCCCACCACGTGCCTCGCATCGAGAGCATCCCGGAGAACATGGCTAGACCCTTTCAACTGCATTTGGACTCAGTCGCCGATCAAGTTGCATGCAGTTCTAGACATCGGTTTGATGGTTCGTGTGGAAACTACAGACATAAAGTTACACTTTATCCAGATCCTTCCCATGCCCCGGAATTCTGACATATCTGCACCATCTAGACCCGTCTCTGCATCCGTTTCCATTCCTTTCCACCAAGTGTCACAGTAGAGCCGACGGGCACCTGTCAGCGACGTGCGACCAAAGCTGGATGATCCTCTCCCAAAAATTCATGGAAAACTCTACGATGTGGTGCCCCCCAATTTTGTGTATATATATATATAAGTTGGTTTATAAACCCTATTAACTATAGGACTTTTTCATGGTCTTGATCCATACCCAGCTGTCCATACCTGCAACTTCACCATGTTCTCCTCTCTTCTCAGCAGCTCTGCTGCTTTTCCCACCACTTCCGAGGCATCGGCCTGGCTTACAGGGAAAGTGATGATGATAAACCAGGATTTGGATGGATTTGGATGCATTTGGTGGCTATTTCCAGACAAACCCGCCGTATTTCCACCAAGGTCTCCATTAAAAAAAACGCTTCCGGATCAGCACCTGGTTCGGCAAAATCCGTTGTCGCATTCCCTCGATCCACCGGTGCACGGACTCCTGCGGACATGGTGGCACATTCACTGACGAAAAAGCGGCGGGCAATCCCAATCAATCCCAGCCCCCTGTTGAGTACCCCAGCCAGGAATCCTAGTTTAAACGGTTTAGTATTGGATGGATTCACATTGGGGACCTCGAGATCTGATTTTTTTTCATGTTAGGGGGATGGATTACCAAGAGAAAGTGTGGACATGAGAACCGCTCAACTCCCCTGCATGGCGCATGGCCATGGAATGGATGGGACATGGCCAATGGCCCCGAGGCACGTGAGTTTACTGTACAAAAAATTGATCATCATGTGCCGCTTTAGAAAATGTTTATAAGCCGGACGTGAATCCTCCATTCGTGAACAAACCTCTGTCAGAACCGCATTCTAATGCTCATGCTAAAGTAGGAAAAACGCTCACATGTTTTGAACCCAAATCATATCCATCACAGATCCTGGATGCACATTATACATATCTCTATATATATATATGGTACATACATGGAATCTATCCATATATATATATATACACAAAGTATATACATAGTATGTATCTATATATATATACAGTATACCCCATCAACAACCCCAGACTTTCAGCGCCACATCCTGGTGCAGCCCGAAGCGTGGCAAATACTGTCGCGTGCTTTGAGGCTTGGCCTCGGCATTTTTCGCCCAGGAATGGGTGGTTCAATGATGGGTGAATGGCGGGATGAACTTCTGGATGAAATTCATGGCTTCCCCAAGAATCATCTACTTTCATGGAGAGTTGTCCATTTTTTGTGTTCATTTTCCACATGGCGTATGTTCACCATCATCTGGGGCATTGTTGTTGGAAAATTGAGAAATAACTATATAATAGGATAATAATCAACCGTTTTACGGTGATATCATGGGATGTAGTAGGATATATATATATATATAACCAACCACAATACAAGATGCGGGGATAAAATCACATTGTCATATTGGGGTGTGTCTCAAAATGGATTTACCGCGAATTTATAAAGCGGAAAATGATGTTTATCTACCCCAATTTCACATAGAGTCATTTTACCACAGGAAAAAATGAACAGTTGCCCTAATTTTAATGTCCAACGTATGGCAATTGCATAAATTAAGGGGAAAATGATGATCGACCATGGAATGGGGTACCTGTACCTTATTTTCAGGCAGCACCTGTCAGTTAAACACCATTCAACCACCATTCGACCTGGCGTTAAATCCCCCAGAAACCCAAAGAAACATAAAGACCAGTTCAAAATTCGCTACAGCTTCCATTTCTTGGGACAATCAGCCGACTTTTGGCAGCTCACAAATCTCAATTTATAATGCGTGTTGATCTCTGACTGACTATGTGTTCCACGCGTGATGCTAAAGCAAAAATGGAAAGATTCAAAGGCTTCGTTGATAGCTAGGAACCACAAAGGTCAGCACATATGTATACTAATTGGTGGTTTTAACCCCCCTGAAAAAAGTCAGTCAGATTGGATCATCATCCCAACTATTGGGGAAAATAAAAAATGTTCCAAACCACCAATTTCTCCAATTTCGCCGGCGCACAAGCTTAGTAAACGAAGCCAGTGCTGTTCACTGCAGACATGCTATGTAGTCCTAGGAAACATATTGTCTCGGCTAGGAACAGGAAGGTGGTCCAACTCCTTTGACTGACGTCGAAATGGTGTGGCAGTATACGACAGAAACCAGCGATCAACTGCAATCAAACGCTCTGTCGGCCATGGCACTGCAAGGCAACTGGCATGCATTGCTATCATTTCACTGTGCGGTCTTACATAATCAGAAACAACTTTGACTCCTGAGTGCCGCAAGATTTCACGCAAGACCTTGGCAAAGGACCTGGCCCGACATTTAAACCCAATACTTAAGAGACCCTGCAAAGGCATATCAGCTCCATCTTTCCAACCTCCAATGTTAATAGGCCCTACTTCTCCAGTCGACAGCGCAAAATCCACAAATAACTGAGCATACGACACCCAGAGACATGGGAGCTGCGTGTGCTGCACAACAGGCCAGAACCATGAAACCAGCTTCTGCACAATGCTAGAGCCGTACCATCGCACGGCACCTTGAGGTAAAACAGGCAAATCTGGCAAGGGCTGCCAAGTCTGAATCGGGACAGAGGTAATGGGGACACTCTCAGGTTCAGCTTCATGATTGTTCACCCCTTCCAAGACCTGTTTACTTACCGCCAACAGAACTTTCTGGATTTGAGCATTCCAAGCATCAACTCGCACACATGCGGCAGTATGCCTAGCAAGCAAGTCCCAAAAATCCGCAGGACGTAAATCTTGAGCATGTGCAGCTGCACGATCAGCAAAATGATTATGTTGAAAACACCACTCTTCCAACAAGGTGTTGGCTTCCTCCAGGTTTCTGTGAGCCGTCACCTTGGTGCAGTGGATCTCACAACTTCCCTCTTGTAAATCATTTTGAATACGGAGCCACAGATCTGCATTGGGAGAATTGATCTTGACTCTTGCACCTCCAATGATCCTACGCAAACGTCGAACCACGGAAAGACAGTCTGACCAGATCATAACCCTCAAACCATACGTGGCAGCAATACGAATTACACGATGCACTGCAAATAGCTCAGCCCGGACAGAGGTCTGACGAAGCCCTGGAAGTGGTCCACAGTCGAGCACCCTAGCCGGCTGGAGCATAGCAGGATCAGCAGTGACCACAGCATAAGAGGCGAACCTTGCTTCTGGGTAGGCAGGGTTACAACAGCTTCCATCAGTGAACACATGCAGCATATCACCAGCAACATCTGGGGCAACTGGAAGGTCAGGACAGGCAATGTTATGCAGGAAACCATACCACTCAACACACGTGGTAGGGCGAAGGGCCCAACCATAACATGTAACGCATTCAGGAAGCTCAGGAAGAGCCGCAAACAACTCATCATCAACCCCTTCCCGACAGGCCTGGAAGGAGGGGCATTGCCAGAATCTATGAAAACGAGAGTCCACACACGGGCAATACATGCAGACGTCAGACTCACTCTCCTGGCAATAGTGCTTAGCATCCTGAGTGATGTGGGCCCCATTCAACAATTTCCGATAGGCTGCCCTGTCAGACACAGAAAGAGACATCAGCCACCGACGTGTCTTGCCTGGGTCAACGCGAGCAAGTTCTGACAAACCAGGTCTATGTGCAACACTGGAAGCAACCACTTTGAGCCAAGACCATTCCATTCGCCATTTCAGCTCTTCCATGCAGAGTTCAAAGATTGAAAAGCTGCCAAAGTCATCAACCACACTCATAGCGCTCGGGATATGCCAGCCAAGAATCTGCAACCTTGTGAGCAAAGTGGCAGTAATTCCATTGCGCATAACACCATCAACATCGTGGACAAGGGCGCCCAGTGCACTACCGACAACTTCCGCAATACCACAATCCCTGACTAAGCGAATGGTCTGAACAACGGCCCAAAATTGAGGATCTGTAGTGGGCTGTTCAATGAGGCTCAGATGAACCATTGCATTGCAACCTGATCCAGAAGCATTGAGCCCTTTCATAGCAGCTGCACGAAGGCTACTAAAATGTTGTGAGGCAATAGTGGTTGCCGCAATGGCATGAAGCCCCCTGGGCCATGCAGCAGTTCTAATAGCACGGACTTTGAGTTCATATGGAGAGGCAGAAAGCTTCAACCGAGACCACATGGCTTGCATAGCATCAAGACGTTTGGTTTGGGTCCCATTTGTATGCTTACGCGAAATTTGGACATGCGCTCCCAGCACCCGGCAACAGTTCTGAACTCTGAATCCATGAGCGGCAAGCACCTTGCGTCCTTGCCCACAGACTGACCAAGCAAAGGTCTTATGGTCATCCAACAGCATGTCAAGGGCATCAGTAAATCTACTAAGGCACCTTCGAATACCTTCCAGCATGTCTGGAGATGTAGTAATGATGGTCCAATCATCCACATAAGACACCGGCTGACACAAGGGAAAGAAACAAACATGCCATTCATGGAAAAGGATGTCAACTATCAGCATACCTAAGCACGAAAGCCCATCTCCTTCCGGCATTCCAGTGGAGCTGAAAACATTCCTGGTCAGATTCGAACCTATCTGAAATCGACGCCCAACTTTCACTAATGCACCCGCCCAGGCTGTAAGCAAAGGGAACGGGAGGCCAAGCAAGGCAGCTGCTTCAAACACCACTACCCTAGGAATGTGATTGAAGGCTTTTTGCAAATCAGCAATCAACCCCGTCAACGCCACACCATGCGAGACAGCAGACTCAACTGCCCAAAGAAGCTGACTCCAAACCTGACCAGCAAATCTGGCAGGCCTACATCCATATAAAGTGTCCGGCAGGTGCTGGTCCAAAGCTCTGATAGCATTTTGGGCCTGATAGGAGCTCCAAACACGATACAACATGCCAAGAATGGTAATGGGACGGTAATCTCCAACAGAACTAGGATGCTCAGTTTTTGCCAAGCAAACAACTTTACCCTGGAGAAGTTGTCCAGGCCAGTCCCCAGTCACCTCGGCTTCTCGAAACATGTCACAGAACGCAGCCTGAGCATTGCTGGGCATATGTTGCAGATCCGCAACAGTCACACCATCCAATCCACCTGCCGATTTTCGGCGTTTTTGCCCTACCAATTGAGAAAACTTCACTGCATCCAAAGCAGGCCAACTCATCGGTATTGTGCGCAGTCTGCGCCGAGCAAAGTCCAAAATAGTATGCCAGCGCTCGTAAGGAACATCTTTGTGCCGATCCCATCGAGCCTTCCAAGCATCAATGAAAACTTTCTCCAGTTCATGTTTGGACCCAGTGCACCGAAGCTGAGATACAGGATCCCCAATAGCAACATCAGCAACAGATTCAAGCCAGAGACAGTCATGTTCAGCATGGATGATGTTAAGGGCACGACCTTGACTCAAAACTGGCTGAGTGGAGACCCAATTGTGCGGGGGGTCAACAACAATTGCAACCTCATCTGATCGCACTTCCACAACTGTGGCTTTCATGGGTTGTAAGAGGTAATCAACCCCATTTGCAGGCACACTTTTCAAATCACGAAAAACCATGTTGGGCATTTGAGCTCTTCGCATGCGTGCATACTGTCTAGAAGACGATTTCAATTGCTTTTCAAGGTCACGAACATTAATCACCAAGGATTCAAAAATTGTGAGGGCCAAAGCATGTGGTGGAGGCACCCATGGCAACTGACGTGGAGCCCCATGCACTTTGTGCGGGCATGAGGCCCACCAACTGGAAAAACCCCCTGCAAACCCAGGGGCACGCACAATAGACCCCCAGACAAGCACAGAATGTTTACTAGGAGGATTCGCATCCCCAATGCATCGACAGAATGCTTGAAGTCTACGAACTTGTCTAACCCATTGGGAATACCTCAGCGAAGACCCATGGAAGTGAGGCTGAAACTCTCCAGAGCGACCAATCCGCACTGGGGCAAATTGTCCAAACTTAACTGCCTTAGTGGAGACCGTCTGGGCACGACCTCGGACCTGCTTGCTAACTGGAAATGGCAATTTGGCACATGCAGATTCTTCAAGAAGAGCCCAGAGTTGAGAGTATTTGGCATCCACGTCACCAGTCAAACTGTTCCAAACATCAACAGGTACATCCCAATGAGCCGGCCAAGGGAAAGGTTTAGGATTGGGCCAAACATCCCGAGGTACAGACTGGGTGAGTCTATGAAAGTGTCCTTGGACCACTGCGTGATCTGGCCAAAGGTCTTCTATCACCGAAACATGCGACAGCAAAGCCTGAAGTTCAGGTGAAACATAGCAGAAATCCTTTCTGGTCCGAAACTTACAGGTAGCCTTGGGACGAATTCCCCACCTCTCCTCAGCAAGATCTTGCAGATCCTTGAATCCAAGTTGAGAAAGCACATCAAAAGCAGGAAGCTCACTCTGACAAACGTTCCAGTCCCCTGCTATGAAACGCGGGCCAGAAGCAAGAAATCCAACCGACGAAATGGCAGCTTGAAGCAACGCTTCAGTATGTTGCAAGCGCATGGGATAATGCTTACTATCTGGTTCCCCATAAACTACAGCACCAGTCAGCCAAACCTGATCCACAAAGGACGTCATGAGTCATGACCATGATTCTGGAAGATTGGGCAACTTCTTTCGGCCAATCCTGGGGAATATGCCGAACAGGTGTCTTGGACAGAACACCAACCCCCTTCCACGCACCAGTATTATCTTTGGAAACCGGCACAGGATACCCACCTAGCATAGGAGCAAACGGCGCATTGGCAAATTTCAAACCGGCATTAAAGGAGCTTAATTCTCTGGAACATAAATGCGTCTCACTAAATGCCCATATGTCCCCATGGGCCATTTGAGTAGCAACAAAAGGAGCTTTGCTTCGCAAACCAGAAGGACTTGCAATACCCAAAACAAACATAGCATCTTCTGGGCCAGGATTGGCAGCTTCACCTATCCGAACCACTGGTAAAAATACCATCAGTACAACCAGTCGGGACCACACGTTCTGCACAGCAGTGGATCCAGCAGAGATGACTAAACCCCCAAAAAGGAAAAATGGGCAAAGGCCAACACAACACAGCATGAACATACCCAAGATCATTGCGAAGGCACCCATGAAGTGAAACCATTGGCCATGCCCATCCCATCATTCGCCATCCTCACGCGGTCTTTTGGAAAGCAAACTTCTGATATGGGTCAATTGATTCTCAAACATAGCTTGGATACTTTGATTTTGCGACTCAATCTGCCCTTGGAGCTGATGCGACTGGACAGAAATCTGTGACTGCAGAGAAGCAGTACTCTGAGCCTGTTGGGTGGAAAGCTCTTGGACTTGGCCATCCAGGAGCACCTGCTTTTGCACCATCTGCTGAAATTGCTCTTCCAGAAGCCCTAAACGGTCAGGCAAGTCATCCTGCTCCATTGGTTGCGGGAGCTTGGCCATGATCGAAGCTTGGATACGCGACTCAATTTGTTGAACACTCTCAGCAGCCGTGGGAGCAGCCCGAGGAACTGTCACAGGTTGAAACTTCCCCCAGGGATCACTTTTGGACCAAGGGTCATCTTCTTTGGGGCCACCACCACAAAGGGCCAACGTAGTGCCGAAGCAATGGGCTGCGGAATGTCATTCCGATCAGTGGTTTCACTTGGTTTCTGTTTGGAAATAAGTATTTCCCCATGACTGGTGTGCACAATGGAACTAGGAGGCTCATCCACCGCTTGAACTACCCACATGGCACCTCTCCCTGGCTGAGGGGCCGCAGGCTGAAGAGGTTTGCATTGCCATTGAACATGCTTCATAGCTCGGTTGATAGCCTGTCGATCAAGTCCAAAAGGGAACGGACCCACAATGTAATTGGTTCGCTCCCCAGACGGCAGAAACAAAGAAAACAAAGAATCAGGACGAACTGCTCTATGAACCTCTTGTGCTTGGGCTGCAGTCACGCGAAGTCCCCTACGATCATTGACACGAGCCAAACCTACTACTGCCGGGTTGGTTTGCTTCAAATGGGAAAGCTCCTGCAGTGACATCTTACCTGTCCAGATCACCATGTACTCCTGGAGGACACGCTGCCCATCAGCTGAGCGAGGTTCTACGTAAGCACCTGCACTACCACTGCGAGTCAAAACTCTTTCCAACAAACATGCTGGCAGGCGGATAGAGACACAAAACAGGTCAGCCTTGGTCGCATCAACTGGTTTGAAGCCAAACTTCACAAATTGCCGTCTCCACAAATCCAAGATGGGCTCCCGGATCGGAAGGTCTTCTGTGTTGTGCCAAGCATTACAGGAACACCCCGTGTTCATACAGCGCTTAAGTTCAGGAAAGAGAGCAACCACATACCGAACTGGAGCTTTAACCAAGCCATCCCAATCATCAAGTTCATCCCTGAAAACAGAGACACGAATGGTGCGGACATCAGGTGAGTCCAGAGAAATGAGATCATTGCCTGCAAACTTTTCAACAACTTTTGCCCCAATCTGGATCAGAGTGGCCTCAGCTAACACAGGTTCATTGTCCATCAGGCACCGACAGGGAACCGTGACTCTGCTCTGTGCAAGCATAGATTGGAGCTTGAAGTCAGCCCTGTGAAAGACAACCAAAGCAAGCGGTTCTTGAGAGACTAAAACACCAGCCTTCAAGTAGGGTTCAGCTTCTTGGGGTGTCATCAAAACAAAGCCTGAACTAATCGGTCCAATCTGCTGCAAGGACAATTGTGGCAGAACCTTTTGTTGACATCGAAATGTGCCTTCAAGGACAACCAGACGACTTGGATCCAATTCAACCGGCAGCGGAAACCCAGGCGCCTTGGAAACCTTACCTGACTTCTTGCCAACCGTCTTGCCTTTGTTGGAGGCAATGGTTGCATCAAGCTCTGCTGGCAATACCAGTTTGAAACTAACATTACTAGCCAAAGCCTTCAAGTGGCGCCACACCTGCTTTTGCTGGAGTGCATGCTGCAACTGTTCACTACCAATAGCCTTGATAGCCTGAGAGGCACGCTGTTCAGACAGGTTTTCTGGAACTCCATGGAGACACAGCTCAGCCGACAATGATTTCACCAGGGCTCCAGAGCCCCCAGATCCCCAGACTATTGGACAAATACAGGTAGTGCGCTCATACATGGCTTGGACAAATGAAGCACGCATGTTGACTCGCATGGCATCAAGCTCTTCAATGTCCTCTGGCAAATCAGCTTGCAACAGAATATGTGCCAAGAAAGCAAGAGCATGGGCACCACACAAAGTGTGGGAGGGAAGTCCATGGGGAACCCGATGAATGACAACCTCCTCAAAACCAAGGTGAAGCCCCATCCAACGCAGCTTACCATCAAAGATGTCGTAATCAACAATGTCATCAAAAGTGTGTATCACCAACACCATTCCTCCAGGCACAAACCAAAGCGGAATCCAATGATGACCTTCAAGCACGACAGCGACAATCTGATGCCCTTTTTCTTTGACCTGTGGAAAGCTCTGACACCACTTCTCGGTCACAATGTGTCCTGTGGCATCCCAGTTCAAAAAATTGATCCCCTCAAAGCCCAGGACAATGGGTAAAACTTCGTGACCCACCAAAATACGGTCACCACGTTGTTTCAGCAAGGTGGCAAGATGAAATCTGATTTCATCATCCCCCATATCCTTGCCATGTTCAACAATCAAAGCAATGCGATCCTCAGTGTCAATACAAATATGAGATGGTGATGATGGTCGGCAAAGCAGCAGGCACTGGAGTTGTTGGCTGCGGGACACCAGAGCCAGTGGCCCCACCATCCTCAGAGTCCCATTCACGTTCTGTTGCCTCTGAATCACTAGCACCAGAGGCCCAAACCCAAGGTCTACTCACCAGTGTCTCATGAAGCAAAGCTTGTCGGAAGAAATCACGAAACTGGACATGCAGACTCCAGACTTGCGAGTATTTGACCGCAACAGAGAGTCCCAGCAATTTGTGACGAAGGAAATCTATGGCACTTGCTCCACACGCTGAGTGGCAAATGAAATTTGGCATTTCATGATGGAATCGAATACCCTCAAAGCCAAGGCCCGAAGCAATGTCAACCAGCATGTTCACAAGCTTGGCAGGAATTTGCAAATGTCGATGACTAAGAACAATAGTCACATGATCCCCAGCAGGGAGAAACAGGACAGGAAACCAATGCTTATCCCACTTGAAGACTCCAATAACCTTGGTTTGGTTGACCCACACATCACGCTGAGACTGAGCCCATTGGGAACATTGCAATGAACGACCATCAAACCATGAGGAAAATCGCAAGGGGTCAATAACCAGAGGCCTGTGAACATCTCCATCAGTCATTCCAATTGCTGCACACACTGCTGCAAGCTCATGCAGGTGAAATCGGATTTCATCATCAGCCCAGATACCATACTGTCGAGAAAGAATGGCCAAACGATCAGAAACGGAAATCAGTTGAGAACGAAGCCACCCCAACCGAGTCAAATCTTCAATGATCGGAGTCTCAAAGTCCTTCAGCATTTGGCAATCAGCAGCCAGGAGTTGAAACAGGCTCAACTCATCGGATGCAATCGGCACCGCAGCCGGCAAAGACTGGGTTCCTAAACACATGGAAGGATCCGCCTCAGATACAGCAGACTCAACAGGAGAAAAAAGGACGACTGACTCAGGCTCTGTCCTGATTTCCCTAGTAAAGGACTCAATAGTAGATCTCACCGGTTCAGGCTGCTCAACGCTGGTGGGCAATCTAGGGAGTGGCCCACATTCCCCTTCAAGATCATCATCAGCATCCCCACTACCCCAGATCCACGGTCGGTGTGCAACACCACGTTGTGTCAATGCATTATGAAAACGCTCACGAAGCATGGTGTGAACCACATCAACTTCACTGGCCACAATGGGCAGCATAGTTCCATGTAACGCTCCATGAAGGAAATGGATGGCCATAGCCCCACATTTGGTGGAAACCGGAACCAGTCTCTGCTGACGGTTGATCAATACTGAAGCGAAGCCTAACGCTTTTCCAATATGTTCCAAAACCTGGTTGAAACGTTCATGACCATGACAAGGTGCATCCCAGGTGAAGATATTGGCATGTACCCCACAGGGGACAAGCTGAAATGGAATCCAATGCGTGTCCAGACGACCCACACCAATCACTTGGATACTGGACTGAAGAACATCAACATGACACTTAGCCCAATCCTCAATGGGGAAACCACATCCGCAGATCCAAGCACCCAACAACAGTGGGTCAATGACACACACTTTGGCCTTGCCAGTGTCAGCAACCTTGGGAAGACTACAAAACTGCTCAACAAGTTGCTTCAAGTGAAAGGCAATCTCATCATCAGCCCACAAGCCTTGTTGCACATCTAACAATTGAATGCGTTCATTGATGGTGACAACTTGGCTGCGCAGTGACAGCAACTTTGCTGAATCCCCAATGCAAGGTACAGACAATCGCAAAAACTGTTGCTGAGTCAGCCCAAGGAGCGCCTGTACAGAGCCCCACAGCGATGGCAATTTGCCTTGTTCTGAGGCACTGAACTCACTATCACCTTCAGGTTGGCACTGCTGTGTCCAAACTGCAGTAGGCGAAATCACACTGGTGGGTAAGGCACCACTTTTCACATCAGATGGCAGATCTGCTTGCAAAGTCTCGTCGGGCATTCTAGGGAGTAGCCCGGATTCCCCTGCAGCAGCCACATTGGGAACAGGCAAGGGACTCAAAATGCCATCAGGGCGGCCAGGACCCATATCAACATCACCAACGGAAGGGGGAGCAGCATCCCTATCGCTTTCAGATTCAGGCGCACGATTTGAGAAATGTTCACCTTCACCTGATTTGGACAAGAAAACAAGAATGGCTTGTCCCGGCTCAATCACTTGGTTGAACGGAAGGAAATGCCCCCGATCATCAGAGACAAGTTGAACGGTCAAAGGGCCCGTTAATCTGGCATGTGCTTGCAAAACATCAGAAATGGTGGACCCTGCCTGAAATCCAAAAGGAAAGGAACTGCCATCAACATCAATCAAAGTCACCATGGAAACAGACACCTGCAAACACAGATCACATTTGGGATCCGCAATGGGCTGGTCATACCAAGGTGTTTCTGGAGCCTCAAAGTCAGAAGAGGCTGCCACGGCCCCCGAATGACTGCAAATGATGCTGTCCAAGACTGCCGCAATGGAAATCATTTCAGCTTTCAGCGCAGGCCAATGACTACAGAGCATCAACTGTGTGAGAGGAATTTCCTTGTAATCCTGCCAAAAAGCAACCAAATCACGCAGTGTCTTGTCTTGGACGACAACATCATTGCATGGCCACATGGAAGAACACTTCATGAGCAACCATGAACGAAAAGCAATCAGCTGTGTCTCAGGCGGAAAAGGGGCACACCCAAACCTGAGAATCGAAATTTTGGAAACCAAGAAACTCAAAACCCACGCGGCTTGCAAGGGACTTGCAATCTGCCCAACTCCAGACAAGGACAACCGGACATTAAGACCCAGGTCAATTGTGCAATCCATACCATTGAGGGCCAGCGCTTCATTCGGATGCAGGTGCCTAAGGCATGGAGGAGGCCCATGACCCGCCTGTGACTGAACCAACAGCCCAAACAAACCTTTCTCCTGAAGGCGCTTCTCAGACAATGCAAATCCTCGGCAGCCACAAGGACAAGGGCGCAACTGCGAACCCCAGGCATGAAGTGCAGTTGGAGATACCCCTTCAGATGAAAGCATGAATCCAGGATACCTACCATCCTCAGCTCCAAAGGCCAGCCTCTCAGCATCATCCAATGACAGTGCCAGCTCATCTCTTGGATCCCATCGAGCTATATACGGAATCAGGTATTTGACAATAGGCAAGTTACTAATGGGAGACCAACTTTGCAACCCTACTCCACCTAGACATGGATCAGTGAGCAACCACCATGTTCGTGAGCGGCGACAAGGCCAAACATCATGAAGGTGAAGGTCAATTTGCTCTTTCTTGAAACCAGTAAGCTTGATGAAATGATCGAGGCATTGAGAAACGAATCTGTCTGAACCTGCCGGTGTGACACGTTCGAGCAGGACCACCTTACTTTGCAGGTAATAGGCAGCCTTTAAGGCTTTCGGAAGGGACTCCGACCTGGGGTCGTTACCACTTCTTTGATCCCCAAGGCGACTGAACGGCTGACAGCTGAACCCGGCGGAAAGTATCTGGGCCCCATCGGCCTTCTTCCACGCTTCAGCGATGACAGAAATGTCACCCAGATCACCTGTAATGACTTCGGCACCTGAATGTTTCTTATGCAAATCAGTCATCAACACATTGGAATCAACTGCAACCGTAGTAACAACCCCAACTGCTTGCGCTCCATGTGAAATTCCACCAATCCCGCAACATCCATCAATCATTTTGTGCATGTCAACCCAGCTAGGAGGGGAGTGAGAAAGAACCCTTGTTTTGGCAGAGGTCTTAACCAAAGGACACGGGAACTGTCGCACCACTTCCACATCACAAAGGGTAAATCGCATGAATCCTGCAGGCAGCAATCCAGAAAAGTAGCAAACTGCACCGGAATGGACCACCTTGACCTGATGAGCATCATGAGAGGGGTCAAAAATCAGTGGCTCCACCAAGAGGGTAATCAACTGACCTTTGTCCACATTTCCAAACTCCATGGGGTAGGAACCACTTGCCATGGCCAACGATGAGAGACGAAAAGCTCGAGGATTGGTACGTCCCAGCCGCACCACTGGGAGGAGCTCGAGCATCACGGCTGTTCCAAACCACCAACCAGTATATGTATATATATATTCCGTATGCATATTATCTAGGTAAGCACGGTTCAACATAATTCAACACCTCCTTGCCTGACGTTTTGAAACCATGACGAGTGGTTTCAGAACCAGGTTTCATTGATATAAATGGAGTCAGGTGGTCTCGAAGGAGATTGTCCAAGACGTGCCAAAGGCCATCCAATTTGGACCCCACTTAGGTGATGATTTCATCATCATCGGCGCGTGTATATGTATATATAGAGAGAGAGAGAGTTGTGTTTTTTGTTTGTGTTATATATATATATATGTGTATATAGACTGAGTTTATGCATCTATTGTGTCTAGATATTCTGCGTAATTATAATAAATAAATATATATATATATACACACATACAATACATATATATATATACAGTGTGTGTGTGTATACATATATATATATCCATACGTATGTACACGCCTACCCAGGATGCTAGTGACTGCTAGTGGATACCGAAGATGGGTGATCCTGGTGGCGTCAAGGGGCAGCCCGTTCTGCTTTCTGCAACAAGGATCTTGCCTCGCGCACGAGGGATGCACCAGCCCCAAGTTGACCATTTTTAGAGATGGGATTCCAACCATCAAACTATGGGTGGTTTATGATTGCTTTACCAACATGATATGTATAGATTGTATATTGGGATAGACAATTATATACAGTGGCGATATTATATACACAGTACATATATATATATACATGAATTGAGGAAAGCCGTAGCAAACCCGTCAAGCATTTGAGATCAAGAAAGGAGTTTCACTCAATTCTGTAGATCTTTCAAATCTACAGCGGTCCTCAGAAAGATGGAAATGTGTGTTCAAGGATATCATAGACCATATTTACCTTATACCCTCTGGTAAATTAACAGTTTGCTATGAAAATGGCCATAGAAATAGTGAGTTTTCCAATTAAAAATGGTGATTTTCCATAGTTATGTTAGTTTACCAGAGGGTAATTTCCATGTGTCCAACTTTTCTAAACCACTCAAAGCACCATAGAATGGCCCCGCCTGTGCAAAGAAGCCCTGCTCGGACCTCACCGTTTCAACTCCTGCTGAGCGCAGGGAAAGGGGGGGTCCATAAATGGGGGATTCTGATGGAAAATCCTATTGAAATGGATGATTCAGAGGTACCCCCATTTTGGGAAACCTATATATATATGTATATGTATATGTACATGTACATATGTATGTATATATATATGTTTATGCATATGCATTTGCATATGCATATGCATATGCATATGCATATGCATGTATGTATATATATACGTATGTTTATGTATATGTGTATGATTGTATATGTATGTTTGCAACCATATGTGCATCTCTCTCCATATCTCTGTCATATCAGATTTACATAAACCTATGTGATAGAATCCATGTATCTTATACATCTTATTTTATATTCACCTGCCATTTGTTTCACCAGAAACATCCTGGCGCCGGGACCGAGGTCTGGCCGCTCCTTTCTGGTATTCACTTTCAAAGATATCCAGGTCAAAGCCACCACAGGTGGAGGCCGCAGACACCTTCCACAAAGCTATAAGCTGCTGAAGCTGAAGGCCTGCTATAGATGATGCCCCGAATCCATTTCCCATCATTCCAGTGACGGAAAACGACGTAAGCTCATTGCAATGCATTCGGAAATATGATCTGATATTCAGCATTGTTCTCAAGCACTGCCCCTCAAAAAGTGGTTCCTACGCAAATAAAGTGAACTAAATAGTATATCCCAATATCTCATTGGTTGATCATCATGTTCCCCCCCCCAAAAAAAAAACTGGGCATCAAATCCTTAGTTTTCAGGTTCCACACCCAAAATCAATATCTCCTGTGATATCACCATGAAATATCCCCATAAACCGATTGGTTATATTTCATGACACACCCAACTAGTGGAATGATTACCCTCTGGTATTTTAACATAGCCATGCAAAATTACCCATGAAAGTAGATGAATTGCCTGTTGTTTTCCATGGCGAACTGCTAGTTTACTGGAGGCTATTCCCGCAAGCATCCTTCAAACATGGCCTTCTGGAAAAATCCCCATCTAGTTCGATGATTTTCCCAGCGAACTAAATCTCCATAGTCTAAGGCACCGCGTCTTCCGCCAACTGTCGCAGCTTCCCCACGGCATTGGGCCGCAGCAGGGGAACGCCTTGCCACAACGCTGGCGCGGGACGGAGCAGACATGAGACTAGCACATACGAAGAGATGGAATCGACCATAGGAGATGTCTACCTAACGAATGTTGGAAATATCACTACAATTTGGGATATCTGAAACAACCAAGACTAAGTAACCCAAGTTGGGATATTCCGTTGCGATGGCCATGTTTTTAGCGGCCAAAGGGAAATCAAGCAACAACAACCATGGGCAAGTCAGACTACCAATGATAGACGTATTTTGCCAAGCAGATTGGACATCAACTATTCTTTAAGGACATCAACCGATTGGCAAATCGATCTCAACCCTTCCCGATGGTGGCCATGATGGATGGCATCTGGACGACTTGAGCGTGCTTTCCTCCAGCCGTCTTTGAGTGTCAGAAGCACTGAAGGGCAGTAGTCCTGAAACTCCACGGCTGGGTTGACTTCGGTCAGAAAAAAAGGTAGAGTATCTGCTCAAAGAGAAAAATCTAAAGAAGTAAAACATAAATAAACAAATGGAAAAAAGAAACAACGCCAAAAAAACATGGCTTTCATCTTAGTTTGGGTGCTTCATTGTTGAGCCATGAGCCATGTCAGCTGCCCAACGAGCCAAGGATCTGGTGGCACCCCCTGCAGCTTGAACGGCTTCACCAGCATCCCAAGCCGAGAATCCTTCCGACTACCATCCTGTGGCGCTTGCTATCCGTCCACAACAGAACCTTGTCCTCTGAAAAATGATGAAGATTGGGGATATAATGGGGATCATATGGAATTTTGATATATACAACTAACTCAAGAATATGATATGTGGGAGTGTCTAAAAACTGCCATGCCAGTAGGAAAAATGATGATTATGTAATCCGTGAATTTGGGCGGTACTTCTTGGCTACAAGGGCATCCGAAGAAACAATTTGGCTGCAATTCGGACGATCTGCTGGACCAGGCCACATTACCAGCTCATGGATTATGATAATCCCCAACATATAATAATATGTACCCTTCAGTAAATTAACATAGACCCTGGTAGATAGGGGTTGGAAGATTAGTTTCCTCTAAAAATTGGTTATTTTCAGGGTCTATGTTAATTTACCAGAGGGTAAATCATACAATATGGGTTCTTATACATGGTGGGTTATTATAAACATGATGTCTGATTATATGCTGTGGATGGTATACTCCCAACATATATGGATTATTATGGATTATTATAGTAATCCATAAGCTACGTTGAGAACTGGGTCTGAAAACCAAGCCCAGTTCTGATCGCCATGTGGGAAAGTCATGAGCTGAGCTGACCCGCCTTCAGCACATAACCCGACTGCCCATCTAAGCATAGCCAGTCTTCTGGCGAATCATCTGGCCTCGACAAAAAACAACCCAGAGGCATGGCGCCTTCCCTGAGGCATACTTCAGGGCACACTTCAAGGTAATACTTTATATACATATATATATACATATGCATATATATATATATATTATATATATTATATTTATATATAGTATATTATATATTTATATATAATATATTTCTATATAAAATATTGTAATCATAGTTATAGCTAGTTTTGGGGGTTCATTATATCCCAACCTGCTGCCATCACCTCTGTCAGTCTTGCTCCCCTTGTCCCTCCGAAAACCTCGTTTGGCATAAATTATGAAATGAGATTGCACTAGATTAGATAGGTTAAACCCAGTTATGTGTACATCAGATACTATGTCAGTATGTATCACATATCGAACACACTTCTATATAATGATGTGTAAAATGCTTCGTTCCAATTAGAGTTTTCATCTCCATATCTGCAAGCCATGATATATATTTCCCATTAACCCTGCATACAACTCCAATAGCAAGGTTTCACGTTTTTGTCAATTCATGATAAACGCATGAAAACACTAACGAACAGCAAGACGCCAGCTGTCGCCTGCAAGACACCACAGGGACACCACCAAGAAACCACCGAGACACCACCAAGGACCAAGGGACCACCGAGACAGCACCGAGAGACCACAAAGAGAGCACCTGCCTTTGTGTCAAGCTCGCAATTGAGCCTGACAAAACATGGGACAACGGCGCTACCCGTAAAAACAATATCCCGGCAAGAGACCCCAAACAGTGTTGCAAAGAACATGACGAAGAGATACCCGGGTAGATTCTGCAAGTTCCTGTGTACAAGATCCTGCGCAAGATCTCCCTGACAGGATCTACATAGAAGCTCCTGTGCAAGATCGTTTTCCAAGCATCTCCGTAGAAGGACCTGTGGAAGAGATCCTGTGAGGTTCCCTTCGTCAAAATCTTTACGGCACGTCTCTGTCAGTGGTACAAGATCCCTCCACGAGGTCTCTTGGCAAGATCTCAGATCTCAGTACAAGGTTTCTGCAAAAGATATCCACACAAGATCCCTGCAGGAGATCTCGGAATAAGATCCGGGTTTCAGCTCTCTAATAACAGATCTCTTAGCAAGATCTCTGTAAGAGACCTTGGTAAGATCTCTGCAAGATATCTCTATACAGGTTCTCTGTACAAGAACTCTACAAATGGTCCCTTGGCAAAATCCCTACACAAGCTCTCTTGAAGAGATCTCTTGGCAAGATCTCTAAGACACCACCGAGACACCGGCAAGATACCGACAACACCGAGGCACCACCCAAATACCACCAAGAAACCTCCGAACTACCACCGAGACACTACCAAGGCACACCAAGACACTACCGAGACACCACCGAGATACCACCGAGACACCACCGATATCACCGAGGCACCGCACACCCGGACACACCCCGCCCAGGCCGGCAGCCGGGAACCCAACGGTGCCTGTCCACCTTTAGAAATCAGCTCCCAGCCCGCCTCTGAGCATGCTCCTCAAATAGCAGCTCCCTCTCGTGACAAATTCCCTGCACAGGTGCCGACCTTGGAGGAGGCAACGGAATGGCGGAACGGCGGAACGGCAGTGGTCCGTCGAGAGTGGAGACGGTGAGCAGCCCCACCACTGGGGGGTATCCTGGGGATATCATGGTGACATGTACATTGCATTTATATACATACATACATACATACATTACATTACATTACATTACATTACATTACATTACATTACATTACATTACATTACATTACATACATACATACATACACCATACATACATACACAATACATACATACATATACATATGTATATATAGCCTCGTGCAGGCTTCTGGAACTACCTAAACCTGAATTAGGTTGGTAAAACTTGTCCATTCCGTGACGAAATTTCGTCGCGGAATTAACAAGTTTCATTAGGGTCATTATCATCATCATCATCATCATCATCATCATCATCACATCATCATCAACTGCTGCCGCAAGTTCACATGAATGTTAACATCGAGCCGCAAGTTCACATGAACGTTAACATCCCACCCCACCCCCCCCACCCCGCGTGTGCGTAGCATCAACTGCTGCCGCAAGTTCACATGAACGTTAACATCCCACCCCACCCCCCCCACCCCGCGTGTGCGTAGCATCAACTGCTGCCGCAAGTTCACATGAACGTTAACATCCCACCCCACCCCTTTACCCCAAGGTTTAGGTAGTTCCAGAAGCCTGGACGAGCCTATATATACATATGTATATTTACAAATGTGAGCATTATACATTAATATATATATATATAATTATATATGTGCATATATATATATATATATCATATATACATGTGCATTTATTCACATATATATATATACACATACAAATATATATATATACAAATGTATATATATATATACACATACATACGTATATATATATATGTATGTATATATACATATATATATATGTGTGTGTACAAAGATATATGTACAAAGATGTATATATATATGTATGTATATATATATGTGTGTGTGTTTACTGTACAAATGTATATGTACATATACATTTACAAATGCATATGTATGTATATATATATATATAGATATCTACAAATATATATATATATGATGTGTATATATATATCATATATACATATACATTTTTATATATATAATTGCATTTGCACGTGTATATATATATAATTGCATTTGTATGTATATATATATATTGATGTGTAATTATTAATATGTTTTTATGTATTTTACATATATATATATATACATATACACGTGTAATCCACGGGTTGGCACTTGAGCCACCCATCTGAGACAACATGAGCGGGCATAGGATGGTTGAGCCCAGCAACAAGTCTGGAGCCTTTCTCACCAACAAACGCAAGACGCAGACCTAGCAACCAGGGAAGTCATGTGAGCAGCTTCCAAAGCCTCTTGTGGATTGGTGCTACAGCTTGAGAGGGATTCCCTGCAAACCTATGTGTATGTACATGTGTATGCATGCATGCATGCATGCATGCATGTATGTATGTATGTATGTACAAATATGCATGTATATACATATTATTCGATCATATATGCATGTCTGTGTCTGTGCGTGCAACCTGTTCTGTTAGAGGTTTGACGAGGTTTGACATTGGACAGGTGGTCTCTTGGTGTACCTCCCATTTCCCCATCGGCACCTCCCATACCATGGGGCCTTGCTCCATGGGACCTGCGCCAGATACAAGGGCGGAAAAGTGGCTAAACCTGCGCCAAATATCATTTCCCCCCAGTGACTAATTCACCTCGAATCGCTGCAGCATTCTCGTGAATTCCCCAAGAACATCCTGTTTTTCTGGTCATGGTTGCTATAAACATCACATCAACCATAGAAAGTCCCAAACGGCCTGGAACCAGGTCCGGCAGGTCATCCTCCACCTCTCCAAAGCCTGGCAAGTCGCCTGCAGCGTTTCGGAGTGGCTGAAACATGGCGAAACATGGGAGGCCTTTCCTTGAAAAAATGCTGAGAATATCTGGTAGATTTTCAGGAAATCACTGGAGAAAAGGATTGGAAGGTAACTTGGGGATTCCAACAGAAAGAAGTGGAGTTTCAGCCAAAAACGCAGGGGATGTCGACGGCAATGAGGGGACAAGCTGCGAACATGAAGAATTCACTGGCACAAATTGCAGATTTGGCATCAATTTGGATTTTAACAGTAGAGATGGTGAGATTCACTTACAACAGGTAGGGGCGTGTCTTCAAGTTTGACTCAAACGTTGTTTGAAGCAGAAACCATTTCTGGAAACATCGAATTCGAAATGAGGATGTTTGTTTCTTCATTTTAAGGACTGCCACACCTGACATTTCGTCAAGTCGGGTTTGTTTGAGCCTTCCATTTCTCCCGTTGGGATCCCTTGTGGGCTGTCTCCAAGGCCCATCTGTCATCAGCTTGTATCGGCTTGTACGGATGGTTGAGGGTTGTAAGAAACACAATGCAATAGAGCCAGTAACAAGCTCGGAAAAGTATTAATACTCTTCCCCCATTTGACCCGTATGGTGGGTTAAAAAATATGTTCTCCAATTTGGGGAGGATAAAATGTTGAAAAAAACATAGATGTCATCCTCCAACGATCTCTGAAGTGCTTCCGGCCTGGCCAAACCTCTGACAAGGAATCGAGCCCATCCTGCAGATTGAATGTGACCCCAGTTACGGACTTATGGAGAGATAATGGGGCCAGTTGAAGGCCAAGAATGACTGTCCCAAGAGAGGTGTGTATATAGTCCTTTATGTGGCCGGGAAACCGCGGGAAATCCAGGAAGTTCAATAGCTTTGGACGATAGACACGAAGAATCCCTTCAAAGCAGCGGAAAACAAGGGCTACTGTATATTTGGCTATATCGGTTTTCGTACCAGATGGTTCTGACATATGTCGGAACCATCGAGTGGCTTGTCCAAATTAGGCTTGCCAAAAATTTAGGAGATGATCAATGATCATCATTTTCCTTTTCCCCCGGTATACCCCATTTCTGAACAGGCACAGTATCTCATCTTCGCCGCTAGATCAAAAGCTCGCAGCGAATGAAGGCACAACCCCTCCAAAAAAAAAACTCCCCTGCATCCTGAAGTGGTGGATTGTTTTTAGTCGGCCACAGATTGTTTGAGCCGCCATTCTTGTTCCATGTTGTTCCTGTACCCCAATTGTCTGCTGCATAAACCACATAAACCAGCATTGACTAGCGCATAAGTCCGCCTTGTGGTTCAATGCCGATTCTTGATCGCCCAGATTCAAATTGATCCACCAAAGATGGTAAATTTGAATCATGCCAAGAAATTTAAATCATGTTGTCCAAATTTACCCAACGACTCATGGTGTCCCAGTTTGATCCCATCAGATGTCTCATCACTGTCGTCTCCCTCCACCTGCCTCATCCTCACCTGGCAACGCCGAGTAGATTAGATTTGGGATGCCAAAAGTTGTGACCAGCTCCCCCGAATTGCTGCATTTTGCTGTGAGAAGCAATGGCTTTGGGAGGTCATCGACTTTTTTTTGCAACATATCTTTCACATATGAAGCCGGTGACATGTCCGTGCAACGCTCCAGAGGTGATCATTTGGCTTCACGATAGCACCATAGCACCTAGATAATTTTCCTCCAACAGGATCCTGGAAGTGGCTTTTGAGCGCATAATAAATGCTTCAAGTTTCACCAGATGGGAACAGGTTGAATGTCCATAAATCCAATAAATCCACTCCTTTTTCTTGACCAAATCCCCACCTTTGTTCATGAAATCTGCTTGGTGAGAATCCCGTCCGGGTTTGCCATGGTTTGCCATGGTTTGGCTACCCCGGAATCCACCTTAAATGACTGGTCCAAGTGAAAAGGCCACTCTTGTGGTTATTATAGCCCATTTTCAGAGAAATCCAATTCCAAATATGCGTGTTGGTGATATGTTTGATGGAATAGTATGGAATATTCCCATTTCATATCTATCTATCTATCTATCTATCTATATATATATATGATATCTGTATATGATATCTATAATATATATGATATGATATGATGTCTCCATTCAGCTTGATTCTTATAACTTTATAGCCTTCACAACCCCCGGCTCACCGAGCCCAGCGTTGCCAGCCAGGCGTTGCCGGCCGCGTTGCCTCCACTGGTCTCAACAGTCTCAACAGCTTCACCGGTGAGCGCAGCGTAGGCTTTATCCAGTTCGTCATAGTCAAAGAAGCCCCTTGGAGCAAAACGTGATACGTGAAAACGTCGTGAAACCTGATGTACTGAAGGATACTGAAGGGGTATAGTGATCATGGGGATGTGTATATATATATATATGTGATTATGTATGCGATTGGTATGTATGTTTATACAACCAACAATATATGGATTTTGGGTGTGCTTGAACACGCGGAAATTTGGGGTACCCCATTTTCAGACAGGCCAAATAGTTCAATGGTCAATGGAAGAGCGGAAGAACAAAAACAACTAGATTGGATCCATTAAAACTATATATATATACATACATAGATGTTCTCTGATACAAATATGTGTACATTTACTTGTATTCAAGCAGTGGGCCCAAAAAAGTTGATGCCAGTTTGATGATACATGAAGTCAGCAAACGGCTGGGAAATGTCCAACCAAATGGGGTGGACTGGGCTGAAGGAAGGCGGAAATCACAAAGCATCGTTGATATTTCACTTCACATCTAACATCCAACCTGTAGCGCCTAGGAGCAATGTACTTGAACTTGTTCCAACATGTCTTCCTGGAATTGTCTAAAGCTGGTGTACAGATCACCTCTTGATCTTGGCCACCGAGGGTGCAGGAGATCCAGATCCTGTTTGTCATCAGATGAGTCCATTTATGTCAACAAATGGGGCCAAGTCAACCAATGGATGGTTCAAAAATTAGATAACAAAAGGAACAAGATGGGTGGCCTTCGGCCTCCTTCGGCCGCTTTGACCATTGGCCCGTGCCATCGTGCCATCGTGCCATGGCACCCTGAGAGACACTGGGACGCGTCGACATCTTTGGCCGGGTGCAGCGATAGTGGGATGGATGCCTGCCACAGCTGCATCTGGGAATATATGAAGATAAATAATGGTTCAGAATGGGAGAATAAGATCATAGTGGAATGATAATTAGATTACCCCCGGTGCTCAAAGATGGCTAGCTGAGAAGTCCCCGCACTAAATGAAGGTTTATAGCTGGGACAATCATCTATACATGGGAAATTTTCCAGCAAGCCATGTTTGATTACCGGAGGGTAAGCAAAACGAATGGGGGATGGGTTTGGGGCTGGGAATGCGGCGTCGGGGAAAAGATGACTACCATGCAGCTTTGCAAATCTAGTTCAAGCATGTGCAGGCATTAAATGACAACCTTGGGCCAATCCTGCAAGCTATTGAAAAGTTGAGTACCGTACCTTCATACAATGAAGATGGAGGGCAAGTGTTGAAGAAGCATTTCAAAAGGAGGCTTTAAGTGAACCTGCTCCAAAGTTTTGCAAGGTGAGTAAACTGCCGACATTGACACAATGCAAGAAGTCCAAAATTGGCGGCAAAAGGGTCTTGCATGTAAGATTGGTGTTTGGATGATAGCTTCCTGGACAGCGAAGCACACTAGCAGCTTCTTTAAACCCTGCAAAATCATGAATTCCAATGTGTTGTTTGTCCTACAGCATGTCGGACCTTCCCGGCGAGCCAGCCAAGACACAGTGTCCACCGTCATCGGAGCACCATCACCACCATCAAGCGCAGCGGGAGGTTGGGAGGTTGCCGTGTCAGCTTGAAAAAAAGGCCAGTGAATTAGAGTCAGTCTGACTTCACTGACTTGACTGACTTCACTGATTCACTGAAGTCCAGTGAAACAGAAGTCCAGTTTAAAAAATGTAACTTTGGCACGTCTTGAGGGGTCAGTCGAGTCCGTTACTTTTGGCCATCGGCTTGCCGAAGGGGCCGGGTGTGTTGGGGCTGCCCGTCGCTGGAAGATGTGTTTCTTTTGACAATGGCCCGAGGCACAGGTCCCGCGCAGATCTCTTGAGCCGGGAGGATCCAGAAGGATTCGCAGGTGTGACCCGCTTGGGACATGGAATGTCAGGATGAAAAGATGATATCGGAGATATTGTATGTATATATATATATATAGTTCTATATATATATATCTAGTTATATGTATATATAGTTATATATATAGTTATATATATATATAGTTATATATATAGTTATATATATATATAGTTTTATATATATATATATTTATATATATATATAGTTATATATGTAGTTATATATATAGCTATATATATATAGTTGTATATATATATAGTTTTATATATATAGTTATATATATAGTTAGATATATATATAAATAGTTAGATATATATATATAGTTAGATATATATATATAGTTAGTTATATATATATAGTTATATATATAGTTATATATATAGTTATATATATAGTTATATATTTATATATATATATAGATAGATATAATTATATATAATTATATGTATGTATAATGAATATGATAGGTTGTAGCTCAGCTCACAATGAAATGTGATGGTGGTTGTCAAAATCTACAGGAATTTTACGAAAGAGGAAAATGATGATCCACCAGCCTGTTTCAGACAAACCAAACTGGCAAGTTGTGCCACTCTGTCAGTTTCAGGTGGTTATGGTTGCTGGTTGAACGACTAATTTTTGGTGTGCAAACTTTAATTCAACAGATTCAAGAGGTTCTTTGATTTTGCAAGTCTGAAGATCATGGATGCCAAAACTAAGCAGACTAAGCAGAACTCGAGGAATGGCCCGCACAGTGTGCCCCAAGCATCGGACGCAACAATTCTTACCCTCGGGCAAACTAACATAGACGCGGAAAACCACCATTTCAATGGAGTAATTCGTCCAATTTATGGGCCATGGCTTCCACATCTATGTTCGTTTACCCTAGGCACTGTCAAGTTAAACTGGGAATTTTATGGTGTCTGAATTTCCCACCACTATTTTCGGAATTGCGTATACTGGATATATGAACCCCGATTCGATCGATTCAGGACCATCCCCAAATCTGGGTATGTCATAGTATCTCATGCAACATTTGATTGTAGTTGGTTTTATATCCAATTGTATCCCCATTCATATGCCATTGAATCGCCAATTTCCTATTATTAAATCCCACTCTTGATCATGGCACATATCGTGTCAGCCTTTTGTTGGGGTGGCCCTCACTGGCGTTTCCGCGGTCATCTGAGTGCCGCTACTCATCATCGAACCAACTCTCACGTGACACGCCCTGGCCACCAGTTGTCGTGCTCATGGCTCTTCGCAGAAAATGGGGATATGATATGGTTATAACCAGCCAAAAGGGGCATATCAACTATCATATTGCTCATCTTATTTACCCCGCAAAAGATTCCCAGCAACTGTTGATGTAAATTGGTATCCTATTCATTCATCCATCCAGAAACATCTACAGTGAATCTAAATTCCCAGGTCCTAGACTTCTGGGGCAGTGGAGAACAGTTGAGATTATTCATTCTAACTCCCATCGCTGTCGCACTCTGCAGGGCGGCAGCTTTTTGCGTTCTCTCTCAAATGCACCAGCAGAAATGTCTTTCTGCATTGCCTTCTTTTTCAAATATGTGTTGATTGGTTGAGTGAAGCCTGAAAATGGGCTGTAGATGAAACATACCAACAAAAGCAACAAAGGTGTCGTATAAATTTATACATATATATATATATCAAAACCGATGGTTCATAGAGTACGCATTTTGGACCCAACCCTCATGTTCCCCAAGTCACTCCCTTCGGCGGACATGGAATCCATGGTCTTTTTTAAGCCCAGAGGTACTGTTGAACATTGCCCATTTATAGTTGATTTTGCGAATGAAATGGTGATGTTCCACAGTAAACTGTGGGTTGTTCTGAAAATGTGCTATACCACCAAATGGTTTTAACCCGAAAAATGATGATCAACCAATGGATTTTTGGATATCCGGTTCTAAGACAAACCCAATGGTTCAATGGCCAATGGAAGAACTATAGTTAAAGCCAGATTAGGTAAAATTATACCATCATATATATATATATATAATTCATGTTTTATCATTTTTTGATATATATATATACATACATATGTATATATATATATACATATATATATACATATATACATATATATATATATATATATATATACATATATACATATATACATATATATATATATCAAAAAATATGTGTATATATATATGTATTAATATATATATATATATATTAATATTGATATTGTACATATTTTCATCGCAAACTGTTAGTTTACCAAAGGGTCTCCGCCCGTTTTGGTTTCTCCGCCTCCTTCTTGGGTCGAATCGCTTCTCCTCGCGCCTGGCCCCGGGTTTGTTGTGTTTTAATGGGAAAACTAATAGGATAATTCATGGGATTTTGATGGGATTGATTGGGATATGATGTTTATTTACCAACGGTATGATTTTATTTGAAATCTTGGCATCCAGGGTCATAATTGAAGGCGTCGCTTCTTAGATTTTTTCAGGTCAGATGTTCATGCATCAAAAAACACGCGAAAATCGAGGGTTTCAGAAAGAAAATGGGTAGATTCGTCTCATTTTCAACGTGGGCTCGCTACCTTACCAATGGCGGATTGCTCAATGGTTGTTGCTATGTGGCACCCCATGCCATGCAATGCCATGCATTGGGGGACTGATGTAGATTTAGAAGAATCATTCAACATAGTCGCTACCTACCCAGTGATCTGTTGGTTCTCTATATATATATATACCCATTTTGAACTGGTCACCAGCCGAACAGCACCGGCCTCCTTCTCTTCCTCATCCTTTTGGAAGGCGCGCACCTACAAGTAACATCCCAGCCATTGATTGCACTGCTGGTCCAAACGAGAGACGTTGTGTTTGCTTCAAGCCGATTTAGAACTTGATTTCAGGCGCCCGATCTCCATCAAGAAGTCCAACCCTTACCGAATTAGATCGCCTTGTCCATAAAGGCCGCATACTTGGAATCCTTGGACTCATCGGGCAGCCTGAACCTTTGCGCTGGAGGAATCTCCTGCCAATGGCGGTGGGTTCACTGGTTGTTGAAGTTCATCCCCCAGCGGGTTTTTTCATATACCATCTGGTTATGACTAACATAGCCATGGAAAGATCCACCCAGGTTTAAGAACGGTAAACCATCTAATTCTATGGGCCATCTATACCATGGCTATGTTAGTCATAACCGGAGGGTAAAAGCTGAATCTGTGTCATGATTTCACCAGGTCCATAGCTACTCCTCTCACAATTCAGATTCACTTACCCAGTAGCTACAGGGTGTTACAGTACAGTGTTTGGTTTTGACCCAGGGCCCATATGGGAGGGTTCCTTAACATTGGGGACCTCAATTTTACCATCAAGACTCATCGTTCTTGGGACAGATGTGAGATTTCAGAGATGAGTCACTGTTGATAAGAAATCCCATCGAGAGATGTCTGATATACATAAAACATAGGCATGGAACTCATAGAACTGTATAGAAATATACATATGCATGTATATCTACAGTATAATGTGTATATATATATATGTATATATACATATATATATATATATATGTATATATATATACTGTATATATATATATATACTGTGTATATATATATATATATGTATCGTCCCGTGTCTTGTGTTCACGGCCCCCCCATATGGTATGGTGGGATACATAGACATATGCGTATACACATACATATACATACTGTATACATTTGCACATACACATACTACATACGTATACACACAAATGTGTATATATATATATATACGGACCATCACTATTTCGGGGGGGAAGGGGGGGACCACCAAACGCTGGGCCATTTTTTTTTCATGATCGGTTGGTTACTAGGGATTCCCACAACGGATAATCGGTCGCTCTCCTCCAGCTGGCGTCGGCTGTTGTTCAGCATGTGGTCCGGCAACTGCGGATGCGGCGTCGACTGTGGGATCCACAAAGATGGATTTAATCCCTATTAATCACTATGAATCACTACTGGTTAATCCCTATTAATCCCTATTAATCACGAATAATCACTATTAATCACTATTAATCACTATTAATCCCTATTAATCGCTATGAATGTTTAATGGTTTAATAGTGATTCATGGGATCCCATATGTTTGGTTTAATCCCTATTAATCACTATCATATAATCACTACTGAGCTTCCATAAACTTGGATTTGCTTTAGACCCCCCCAACAAAAATACGAATATTCCCTCTGGATTCCGCAAATGGTGCATTTTCCGTTGGGAAAGCAAAAAATCACCTTAAACAAACCCATGGCAGGGAAAGCAAGGAAGGTTAAAGGTGGAAAACAACTCCGGAGCTATTCACATTCATGAAAATGGATGAAATATCATGAAAATATCTTTGTTTGAACAGTGCTCGTACATGGGTGGAAAAACCAAAGGGCGAGTAGAGAGCATGTACAAAGATCCAACGAACAAACGCAACACAAGCCCGAGAGTCAAGCAGGGAACTGCACAGGCCAAAGCTCTCTAGATTGCACTGCATTTGATTTTTCAACCTCCGCTTTCCATAAAAGTCGGTCTATTAGTCTATGCTCTGGTAACCTACTGGAATGCCCTTGCTCATAGAAAAATTATGATTATTTTGCTCATAGATTATTTATATTTATTTATCTGGGAAAATTATAATATTTCACTAACCTGAATAGTTCGGCCATTTGGGGATGATTTCCCTAAAGTAAACCATGATTCCAGGGCTCGGGAGAACAGTGAGGTCGTGATGAAATTTACCCAGATATATATATATATATATGTATTATATATATATAATATTAAATTTGAAACAGTACTATTAAATACTATTAATCACTATGAATCCCTATTAATTACTATTAACTATTATTTATGATTAATTTGTTATATTGTCCCATTATGTCCCATTGATTTAAGGGTGCCAGGTCGGATTCCCGCCGTTTTTTTCCCTGCTCCATGTTGGATCCATTTCAGGCTGAATCTCTACGGCTGATAAAAGTGATGTGTGGCAGCTTTAAAAAGCAAACATGTCTGCTAGGGAATCCTTAGATATAATTAATCTAATGGGTGTATATGAATCCCCATGAAAATGGATGGATGACCGTTCCCAACTAGTGAAATATCATCCAATTTCATCCAATAGTTCCTACTACAACCCTTAACAATCCAGTGAATATCACTTAATCCAACTCTTCATCAGAGTATTTTTCTTCAATATCCCCTTACAACCACAGAAAACATTCCCCTTTGATTATTTAACATACAGAAAATGACCACATGTAACAGCTAAATCATCTCCAAATGATCCCCATCCTTTGGTGAAATTTCTGAACCTTCGCCATGGCGTGATGGCACCTGCCTGGAAATTGGCCAATTCGGGCAACTTTGGAAGCTGATCGCGCCATTCCTTGGGCACAAAGGGGGCTCCAGTTGACGCCATAAAAGGGGCGCTTCTGAAAAAACCGGTTGACTTCAACAAATGGCTTTGATCCAAATGGCTTTAATCACATGGATTCACGGATATTCATGGATTCACCAAACAGATAGGAACCAGCTAGTAGCAAGGAATACCAAGAATATCTAGAATCTAAGGATGACCTTGTGATACCGTATAGCATATACCTGGTAGCTGATATGCTTTGGGGGATAGAATCTAGTCTGACTTTCCCGGCCTCCGGATCGCCCACGTCAATGGTGTACCTCAGCGGTTGGAAACCACGCCAGTGGCTACGCACTGCTACGAACTGCAAGAAACCTTTGACACAGTAGGCCCAATGAAAAATGCGCCATGGTTAAGTTACGTGGAAAGAAGGGGGTATGGTCATCTCACCATCATGACTGGGGTTCCTTATATACTGTTTATATTATATATATATATACTACACCATATGAATCGGGGATTACCATCCCTTTCTACTGGAAAATAACCCATGTCTTCAACCACGCTGTCGACTGTCTACCGATATCGTCTGGTCCCTGCCCCTGGGTAACCCGGACTCAACACCCCAGTCCTTGACTTGACGATTGAAGCGGATGGTCGGATCAGTGTAGACTTCAGGGATCGTGGCCTCAATGTACCTGGTTTCAAAGGACCACCCAGAGGAGTGCTGAAACCATCAGAAAGGATGTTTTCCACAGATACCATGTCCAATTACATTGGCAGCGCTGGCAGTGGATGGTCCAGCCGTCTATCAACCACTGATTCTAAATGATCGCTGGGGGGGTGATCCCTCTACTTTGCGGGATGTTCATGTAAAGAGTGTGCAATTTTCCAGGACTCCGGAGGCACGTGAAAGTGTGAAACAGGAATAATAGGAACAGATGATTTAAAAAGTAATGATTCAATGATCTTTTCATATCTTTCCGCTCAATGGATGCATTGATAAATCCATGTCCATGTCATGCTGTCGAACTTTTCACCGCTCGGTCGGTTTTCAGAATCCGCGCCCTTGGGACCTGCCGTGCAATCTGCGAGGGCTCCAATCGTCCCGGGGGATGAATCACCATCGTCCCATTTTGTTCAAAGGGTATACCAAACATACGATCATCATCAACCCCCAAAATCGGATGGTTTTTGAACTGATTGAGTTTGCCAATCATTAACGATCATTAACGTATGCTGCTTTCGATCGTCACCTGGGTTGTTGGAAGGGGGCCCCAGGAATCAAAATGACCCGATCTCTGCAGCAATCTAAGGCCCGACGAAGTCCACGCCAGTTCCACGGTCCATGCTGATTCAATAGTCCCATCCCCCAAATACTGGGAGTAAACCCCAATAAGGGACCCCCAAAAGACAAGAAAAAGATCACTATAGATCCAATACTAAACCATGGTTTCGTTTGGCATTTGAGCAAGTTTTTGAGTTTGGGTGACCAGCAGTACTTCGCCCACAGCCTCTTCCACGTGCGGTCCACCAGGGTTAACCAATGAAATCTTTCGCGAGGCTTTGGCCGAGGATGGCCTCGCGAATCCATCGGAGGGTTGTCATTTTGAAACATAATCATGTACATCTGGACTTTGTACATCACTATATATCTATATGTATACATAATATAATATAAATATCATATAAATAAAATATAAATATAATACAAATATAATACAAATATAATATAAATATAATATATAAATATAATGTCACATAATTTGCGAATCGGGGATTGCTTGCCCGATTATGTCCTAATCGTCAATGTCAAAGTGGATGTTCCAATGATGACGCAACAAGGGCGCCAGCTTCCGCATTGCTATTGTTCTCTCTGTCGCTGCAGTGGGTCTTGAGCCGAAAGGGCGAGTGTCATGCCCTTTGGCTGTGGATCTTAGAGTGTTGAATTATGTGATATTGTACAATGGTCCGTAGCTTACACTCTATTCGCACCCCCCACGCATGGCCAACTTTGTCGGCCACGCGCTAAGGAGTGTCCCTTGAATTGATCCACTACATCTGCAGTTGTTCATTTATTGAATTATGGAGAGCTAAAGTCCGTTCAGAACTTAACGTCTACATGGCGGCTTGCTACGATCTCTACCAAAAGATAAAAGGGTTCTGTTCACGTGCACGTAGACACGACGTAGTCGGTGTCTAGCATTGAGGTTCATCCGATGTGGCGTAGCCAGCATGGAATCCCACTCAAGCATGTGAATTAACGAAGTCAAAACACAAAGTTGACTATGGAACTAGAAGCTTACCTTCCCGTTCCTTCGTCGGTTGAGATGTAGACCGCTGTAGAAACTCAGCGTCTCGTGCAATGATGTTCAAAAAAAAATGTGTGGTTCTAAATTAGTCGGCTCAGAGTCCTCTCAGAAATCATTCGAAATGAAATAGAGGTAAATCTCGAGCAATGATTGCATCCTCGCATCGCCAGGTTCAATCAGGACCTATGCAGAGGTCATATCGATTTATCATTTATATTCCCTTCCATAGTATCCCTGATGGTTCCAGTCTCCACCACGGTGCGAATAAGATCTTCCACCTTTTCCTTTGTCTTTTCCACCTTTCTGTGGCGGGGTTACTGGAGCCTGTTTTGGCGGAGGAGCGGTTTCAACTGTTCTCCATGTTTCTGATGATGATGCTTTCGCCTTTGACACCCTGCCCAGTGCTGTTGCCGCTTTCGGGGCTGCTTTCGATTTGCCAGCGGCTTGGTTAGCACGTTCACGATCGGCAGGAGTTGGGGTATCAGCAATCGCAAGTAGGTGGGCGTCAGTCATGTGGATGCCCCATCTTGGTCGTTGATCGTCCCGTTGTTTGATGTGGTTGTAGTCGTCGATCGCATCATACAGCTTCTGGAGTAGAGGTCGTGGTAATTGTCGGCCATTTTGAAGGATCAGGTGCAAAAGTGATATTCTTCGAAGTGCGGGACGAAGAGCACACACAATGTCAACTGGGTTCAGTGTGATTGTGTCTTGAAAGTCGACGTTCCTGAAGAAATAAACAGCATTCACCCTGTATGCACCTGCAATGATTCTTCTGACCATGACGTCTTGTCGGTCAAGGGCGTCGCGGGCCGCTGTGGTCTTCCTCATCTCATCCATCGTTGTGTCACGTTTCGACAGCTTCTCCATCTCTTCATCGAAGAAGATATTTTGCAAGTCTTCATATGTATAACCGCATTCAAGGGTATACACGAGAAGTCGTTTGAGTACCACCGACCCATAGTATGCATTGACGAATCCCTCTTCTCCGATGTCGTCCTTTTGATTTGGTCGGCCGATCTCTTCGTAGAGCTCTTTCATCTGTTGTGCAGTTGGTTCAATGAGTTCACCATTCTCATCCTCGCCTAGGTAAGGCACTCTTGAGTCCAGGTCCATCCTGAATTTTCGGGTCTGTTGAAAATGTTTCCATGCCGTATCGATGTCACCACAGAAGTTCCGTTGGAATAGTCTGTAGATCCTGACGATATGTAATCCAATTTGTAACAGGAGGATTTTGATGAGCTCCGGTTGAGCATCTCCAATTGTGCAAGGCTCGATTGGTAGGACCTTTGATCCGAACTCAATCCGCTTCATCCACTTGGGGTACTCAATCACTGCATCACGAGCTTCTCCAGCCTCATACTCTTCAATGTTGATCTCACCGACCGCAATTTCTTCATCGTCATTTTCATCGGTCGGTTTTCCTTCCTGGTTGAGAAACTTGTCGACCTCATCTTGTTCTCTGAAGTCTCTTTTCTCATCATTGATGTCGCCTTTCTTCGAGGCTTGATCATCATCTCCCTCTTCTGGTTGAGGTTCTTGTTCTGGACTCTTCATGTTGATGTCATCATCATCTGGCATCATCTCGTCGCCATCACCATCACCTGTCAAATCGATCTTCACCTCCTCCCATGCTTTCTTGACATGGTCTTTGAGATCTTCTTCTCGATGATGTGATTCGGCACTTGGTACTGTAGCCACGGTGATCTTGATTCGTTTCCTCCATCCGTGACTCACCAAAAATCCTTTGCACATCACGCAAATCGATAGTGGCGCAGGGGTCTCCATCAGACATGCGGGGCATAGTCGATGGTCCTCCTTGCTGGGATGATGAGTGACTGCCAACAATGATATTGCATCATTCCAATCCGGATGTCCAGGGAACAATCTGTGAGCATGACTGAAGTGACCGGTCTTGATATCGACAAGCTTTCGAAGTTCGTCCAGATCGGGTGATGATTCATCAGGCACAATGTTCCCAATGAGTTTGTCAAATCGTTCAATGGTGGCCACTCTCCTTGCTCCTTGTACAGAAAGTACGAGTTGATCTTTCCCCTTCGTGATCATAAGACGGTAGTAGTCCTTTTCCTTGCAATCATAGTACCAAACTGCATCGAATGATTCGAATGGAATTGTTTCTTGGACCAAAATGTGTCCGTCTGCTGACAATCGAGGGGAGAACTTGGCAAGGGAGTCGTACGTGATGTAGATGTAGACAAGATCAGTTTGTTCGATCTTCCTGAATCTCAGCACCGACTGACTTCGTACGTCCCACGGTGCGAATGGCACGAAGAACGTGTTGATTCGGTCGCCTCCTCCTCCGGGACGTAGTCCTTCTCTGAAGATTTGAGCGATGTTGTCAAAAGTGGTGCAATGAAATCCTCCTCCAAGAGTATATCCGACTCCAGGGTTCATCTGATAGGAAGTCTTCTTGTCTTCAATGTGCACACCTCCTTGAACTCTTGAATGAGCCATAGGGGCACGGATTGCCACCGGCCATAGCCAAATCTCTCGATCTGCTGTTCCGATTTCCAATCTCAGCGTCTGTCGTTCAAGTCTCGAAGTCAATTCGTCATTGAAGTTGTTCATGATGTGTTCCAACTCACCTTTCGTGACTTTGAGTCCTAGCACTTGAGCTCGGATCCTTTTCGTCTGCTTGTACTCAGTGAAGATCACTCTCTGGAAATTGTTCCACCTCTCAACAAGTATTGGGTAGTTGACGCGGGTCGTTCCAGCCAATGTATGTTGGTCTTTCCAAATGTTGTCATACTTCAAGATCGATTCGACATTGACCCAACCTGCTTCATCGCATGGTAGTCCACGGTGGTTTCGATTGTCTTTGACGCAACCCACGGAGTGGCGTAGCGCTGCATTGAATCTTTTCGACAATTCGACTATCCATTGCGGATTGTCCCACTTGTCTCCCATCCACTCATTCTCGCCATATCGATGCACCCTACACCAGCCCATTCCCAGATATTCTTCTCCATTGATGCGAGCAAGTTGAAGTGTACCAATGTTATGGCCATGTGTGAATGGTTGGATGTACTTGAAGTTCCAGTTGTCTCCACGTTGTTTCCTTTCTTCGGTAAGCCATTTCACATATGCATCATGATCTTTGGGGTTCCAAGCGTTCAGCTCTTCAATGTTCGGCAGAACAGGTGGGGATTCCTCAGCCGCACGTTCAATCAGCATGTCAAGCTCGTGACGATTCTTCACACCTCGGCTAATTGGGTTGACTTCGACGCCATTCACTAAGTACTGTCCTCCTTCTTCACGATCACCAATGTCGTACATATAGGCTGACTGACTGTAGAAGCATTTGGTCACTTCTTCTTTCTCAGTGAATCTGGTTCTTCCCCAACGTTTTCCTCGTGGCATGACGTTCTTTGGGAGCTTGTCTTTCCTGCCTCTTGTCGCGGCATTGGATTTCTCCGAAGATGATGGAGATTTGGACTTCTGATCCATGATCAACCTCATGCGCCATAGGGAGTCCCTCACTTTCTCATCATCTGGTGTGGTACATTCATCAATGTCATGCATTCCACCACAAATGAGACCATATTGGACACTCTGTGCATCTGCAATCAGCTTCTCAAATCGATCACGGATGTCCCGCACCTCAGTTCGGCGCTTCTTCGCCTCCGAAGGTTGGCCCCCCACGTCATCTTCCTCCTCCTCAATCTCGATGTCACCGGCTCCGGCATCGGTTTCTCCTGAAGTTTGTTCTGCTCGAGTGCCCCGCGCCGTAGGCGTCGTGGTCTCGTCTTCAGGTTCGCCAACTTCATTCTCCTCCTCATCGCTTGAAGAGATCTCAATCATCTCAGGATGGTCGTCGTAGTTGGCTTCCGGGAGAACCGGCATTCTGGTAATCTTCTTCTGCATAAGTAGTTCGAAGATTCCCGCTTCTCTCAAGATTGTGATCACCATGTTGTTCTCGACCGGTGGAATGTATGCTTTCCTGGATCGGTTTCGCTTTGTGTTGATGGTGTCGGTAGGTCGACATGAACTGCTGAATAGCCAAAATGACTCTTCCAGTCCTGCGAGGCAACTGTCAAGGTTTGCCCCCCATCCAGCGAACATAGTAGGAAATTGAATACCCAGGTCAAGCATTCCAAGCCAGAATTCGAAAATGTCGCCGACATACTCAGCTGTGGCGTTTGGATTGATCATCGATGTGATCTCCTCCTTGGTCAGCACTGTCTTCATGTAGTCATGATAAGCGACGTTTCCACCATCCCAAAGCAGTCTGTAAAACCATCGCATTCGGTG